TATTACAAACAATGTTCAACAAGTATTTAAATCAATTGGTTGAACAATAAAAAGAATTTAAAATTTTGATGAAAATCCATTGAAGTAACAATTTGCTTCAACAAATCAAAGCTGAAATGTGCTTTTGTCATAAACTTAATCAGCTTCTTGTCATAATAAAGTCAATGTTTAACTTTGCCTCAGTTACAGTTGAGCCTTTAAACGGACATTAATTTAAAAGTTAACTTGCATGAAAATGGAAAAGACAATTTCTCATTTCTCTTGAAACCTTAATTGTTGACTATTCATGATAATTGTCAGCAGACATAAACAAATGAGTTTATAGTTGTCATGAACATTGAACACTCAATCTTATTCAAATGATATTCATCATCTAGTAGATGAATGTAAATCAAGTGTAACATCATCATTACGCAAAGCAAGAAAAAAAAGTGTAATCAATTTAAACAGTTACAATTGTGTTGAAAATTGAGTAAAGCAAGAGATGAAGAAAAATAAAACCGCCAAACCTCATGCAATGAATCTCAATGAAACGTTATTTTGTCAAAAAGCGTCAATTATAATCAATCAAAGTTAATCAATTTGCAAAAAAACAAAAAATAAAATCAACTTACGGCCAACAAAAAATATATTAAAACAAGAGAAACTTGAAAACGCCAAATATTTACTTATATTCACTTCATTCATTATTAGCTGATCATTTTTGCAGCTGTAACATGTATTAACTCTTGTTATTTTGACAGTTTCATCTATTACATCCGTTCACATATGCTACCAATATGACCCATCATCATCCAAATGAATTAACTATGTGAAACAGCAATGATGATCCTCATCACTTGCTTTTTTTCATCAACCAAAGATGAAGAATAGATGAAAGAGAGAGAAGAAAAAAGTTATTTAGTGATTCCATTTTTTATGCCTCTTTCAGTGTCAGGTCAACAAGATTTGTAAACCTTTTCTGACCTTTACATCCGATTATGTCTGCCCTTGTTTTGCGTCCCTAAAAATTGACTTATCCATTAAATATTACATTAGTTTATTTGCCAGTTTTTTGACTTTCATCTTCTCCTCCCACTGGATAACCTTCATCTCTCAATAAGTTTACATGAAAGGTTCAAGTGATAACATCAAAATAAGAAACTATGCCCTTTAACCTTGATGAAACTATGACCTTTTTTTTATATCAACCTTGTGACTTACATTCATGTCTATTCAATGTGTTGCCAAAGATCAACTTGTCGGCTTAATGTGCACATTTGGTGCAGGTTTGATGAGTTGACATCAACCTTGAGACAAAAAGGTACACAAGCGAACCTTTTTTTACCAATCAATTTTCATATTGCTTTGCCATCTTCATTTTCATCCTCAAATCTCATTGAAACTTTTTTTATCCTCTTAACTTATCTTTCACTGCCCAACTCTAATGACATTTCCGTAGGAGTCAACAGGCTCATTTTGCCATCATCATGTAAAATTTGGGCAAAATTGTGGAGAAAAAAAGGAAAAGAATTTCTTTTTTGCTTGAAACATTTTTATCTCAACACTGATAAACTTTCACAGAGCCTCTTCTAACGAGTCTCTCATGAGTAGGAGTTGGATAAGATCAGGTCAATGTTTACTTGAAAAACATTACATCGTCTTCTTGCTCATCCTAATCATCTTGATCATGGCTCATCATCATTATCATTGTCTCTCCATTTTAGGTAAAAAATTGAAACTTAATATTTGCAAAAATGTTGAAAGAAAATATCATTTCTCGAATCGCCTTGGGAAGCTTAAACCACCAACTACTAAACTAATTTAATGTCCTTTTTTATTCCCAATGTTGATGAAGATGATAAATCTTGTTCTGTTCGCTTAGTACAAACACTGTCACCATGATTGTAAAATCAATACTTTCATTGAGCAAACCCTCTGAACCTTTCTCCTCCATTTTTATCCTCCTCAACATGAACCTTTGGAAAGCTGAAAATTTTTGCTCATTTCCAAGCCTCAACTTTAAACCATATTGACTTTTTTTGCACCATTATCTTCATCTCTTCTCGCATTTCATTTCCCGTTATCCTTATCTTCACAGCTATTCATCTTCAATAATTGAATCTCATTATCTTACAATAATAAACAAAATCTCAAGTTTTCACATTTTCACCAAGAAATCATTCGAGTTTACCTTTTCACTGAATACCATTTTCAAGATTCACTTTTATAAACCCAACAATAACAATGAAAAAATTAATAACCAAAGTTGACCAACTAAACTCAACTAAATATAATAAAATGAAAACATTAATAGCAATCGAGTCTTAAATGGCGTCTCAAGAGCGTATTTTATAGCGACAATAAAATCAATAAACTAATTTTTGGGTTCATTTCATTGCCAAGATAACACTTGAAACCCTTTTATTAAACAATCATGAGAGTATCATAAAGTTGGAAATGATATTAGTGATTCTGATTAACCTTTAATGATGAATGAAATGAAAGATTAAAATGTTTTGATTAAAGTACAATTGCACGACAAAAGGTAGATTAGTCAACTGTAGTTAAGGTAAAAGGTTGAAAAATGAACGATTAAGAGCATGTAAAGATATACGGATTAACGAATAATCATGTATTGAACTGAACAACATCTCATCTTATCCCAAGAGTAATGATGAGAATCTTGAATCAAAATGTTGTCCCATAAATTGTTGAACATCTTTACCATGGAATGGAAGGAGAAACAGGAAAAACAGTGGAAACAAAAAGTAACACAAAAATAATGATAAAGATAAAAGTCTTGTTAATCCGATTGCATAATTCATGGGGTTATTATGATGGAATCTTGAATGGTGAAGAAGATACCATGAAGATGAGGTCACACAGAAGAGGAGAGGAGAGAAAAGAGATCAACTCTATTCTTCTTATTCCTATTCTTATTCGCCTTCTTTTCCTCTTCCTTTCCATCGCATGATGATATTAATGAAGCAAGTATAAAAGATGATAATAATGATGATGATAAACTGGGAATAAGTCAGGGAATGACTGGGAAGGACGAAGTTATACAAGAGATGAAAGTGCCAAGGGAAATGCTGAATAATAATATATTCATATTAATATGCACATTTGTCTATTATCAGAATTGGTCGCAACTCTACAAGTTTATTCTCATATTTGCTCTTGATAATGATAAGTTGAGTCGAAAAATTTTTTCTCTTCTTTGCCAGTTTTTTATTGTAATTTGAAACATAAAATGAACATTATCACTGACTCACTGGGAAGGTAAATAAAAGATAATAACTTGACTTTACAGATTAAATAATCTAAACATTGGTTGTTGAGTAAAATTTCAAAGTCAAATGCTTTTTGTTTGTTCAGTTACTGGGCTCGAATCGACGATTATGGAAAAGAGAAGGGAAAAAATGATCTCATGTAGACTAATATTTTTATCCCTTTTTCACCCTGTAATGTTATAATTCTGTGAGTAAACACTTTGCCTTCTGTTTACTTGAAAATATTTATCTATTTTATTTGACACATAAATAAGAGTAAAAGTAATAATCAGAAATATCTTTTTCTGTCATAAATGTTTAATAAACTTTGATAACCAAAATGATAACTCAGTAATAGTTTTGCGTCTTTCATCCTTTTATTTTATTCATAATTCTTAATTCAATTCAGTTGAACCTTTTTTTTATGGTTGATGGAAAAAATGAGTAAAAATTTCACAAGAAAATTGAGTTTGTCAAAAAGATTTCTTGAAGTTCGAATTTTTTCCATTTTTTCTCTGATTGTAATTGCATTTTCGCTCTTTAATGAGTTTCCAAGTTCATCAAATGTTTATCAAAGAATTTCTGAAATTTCATCTTTAAACTCTCATTTGGTACAAAATTTCAATTTTGTTACTAAACTTGGCTCTTCTTTAAAAATAGATTTTTGAATAACATGAAATTTTGTTTCAAAGACTGAAGACCGAGAAGGAAAACAAAGTTATCAAAGGCATAAACTAATCAATAAACACGCTTAATGTTCATGAGCATCTTTTCATCCCATTGTTCAATCTCATTTTGGCATCAATGTTGTCAAGTTTCGCCTCATTTAAGATATCTTTTAGTTTCCTAATAACATTTAGTTGACTCAAAGAAAGGTCTTTATCCATCAACTGATGCTTTTTGCCTCTTTTTTCCCATTTTTACATTTTCATTTGGAGAAGAAGAAAAAAAGTACAAAAAATATCAATTCTAATCAAGTTGATATTCACATCTTTTTTTTCATCACCGTTTATCCTCTTCTTTACATCATTATCATCATTATTAACATCATCTTTTTGTTGTTAATCGATAATTTCATTTTACATTGGCGCCAATTTCAAGTGCACAGTAAAACTCCCAAGGGTCAAAGTGTTTTTACCCCAAGCAAACATGGTAAAGAATGATAATGATGATGATCAGAGGATGATAATGGGGAAAATGACTATAATGGAAATAAATGCATCATGATCGTCATCATCTTGTAACTCCCAACAACTCCCAGTGACACTCCTTTTGTGCTTTCATTTTTATTGTAACATTTTCTTTCTTCATCTTCTTCTCTTGATCACTATTATTATTGTGAAATAAAAAGATGAATGATAATAATAAGATGATCATCATCATTGTAATGATGAAAAAATGGTCCTATCAAACTTTTATCCACAATCAGTTAATACCTTTTCATTGGAAAAAAATTTTCTCTCCATTTCTTGTCTTCACTAAAAGAGGCTAAATTTTTCGCCTAAAGGTGAAAATAATGTTTCACTCTATCTTCCAACATTTTATCATCACTTTACTCATCCTCATCATTGATTCCATTAAACATTACATTTGATGAAAAGAGTAAAGAAAAATATTTCATATTGTAATCTAATATGATTAGGCAAAAAAGTAAATGATAAAGCAAAGTTTCCATAATTTTTATTCAATTTTCCCAATAAAACATTTTGATATTAATCTTGAAATTTTGTCTCCTCTTCATGATAGGTTTATCAATGCCAGAAGACGAATTGTTCAACCCATGATTGACCAGTCTAATAGAGCAGGTAAAATGACTTGAAGGTTAAAGAATGTCGAACTGAAGATATTAATCTTTTTTCTTGAATCTCACAGATTTAGGAGGCGGTATTCCCGGTACTGGTCCAGGTTATAATCCAGATGGAAGCATGAGATACATGATGGATGGCACTCAGCAATTCACACCTCCAGGTAAACTATTTACTCACTTGTCCTCTCCGTAACCAACCCAACCCAACCTAACCAAACCTCACCTAGCCTATCCATGTGTCCGGACTGACTCCAGGTCCATGACTGGCACCTCACCTGACCCTTGACTCTCTCTCTCCTCAACTCTCAACCCTTCTCTCTTCTCATGTCTTCTGAATGTATGTATATGTATATGAAGCAGTTCATTCACAAGCAATGTTATTACCAGGCCATCCACACCCTACCATGATGATGGCACACGGGCCCATGGGACACCCTGGATTACCACCACAAAGCTCACCGTATGATGCAAATGCTGGTCAGCATATGATGGATTTACATGCCAGTTAATCGTGATGCATGTAAATTCAATTTCATAAATATTGGTTTCCACCAGCCTCTATCTTCCCTGTAACCCTTCAATTTGCAAACAAATGGATGCTTTTCACAAAACACACCAACACACAACCACACACACACATAACAAAACAAACAAACATACACAAAACATACAAAAAAAGCATCTTAAGTCATCATTGTCTATCAATCGTTTTTCCTCTTCTTTCTCATCTTTCTCTCCTTTCACTATCTCATTCACTTAATTCAGTAACAATCAAAGAATATTTCAGAATTCAATGTAATTCCTTTTAATCAATTCTGTATCATCATCAACAAAACAACAAACAATTCAACAACAACAACAACAAAAAAAACAATTTTGTCTCTCAAACAAAAACCAACAAACCAACATAAAAAAATAAACAGCAAATGGCTTCGTTTAATTTACACAAAAAAGCAAACTTTTCATTTTCATTTCAACTTTGATTGCAATTTTTCCCCATTGAAATTGAACCAAAAATAATAAAAAACTAAATTTTCTGAATCAACAGTGAAAAGTCAATGAACAATCGGAAAAGCAACCCAATGATATCCAATTGACCCGCCAACTCGAATATGATTTATTAATAATTTTTATTCATTTTCATCTTATAACAACTGATCATACAGATCAATCAATCCATTGAAATGGTTATCATTATTGTTGCCATTATTGTAACAAGAATTCACCTTTTTTCTCTCTTCTTTTCACCAAAGAAAAGAAAAGGAAAATCGAGCAAAAAAATAAAGGTTCAAATGGATGATAATATTGGCAAGTTAAGGTGCCATTGTTAACAATAAGATGAAAAGATGCATTTCCGTTGCATTGAACATTCTCATTGAATAATCTACAGATCTTATTCATATTATTCAGTATCAACTTTCCTTGATACACAACAATATCCATTATCATTACTGGATCAATTGAATGTTTATCAAATAAACAATCCCAACAAGAAGTGGAAAAGGTGAAAAGGCCGAAGCAAGCCAAAAACCCAAAAACAGAACCCAAAAGTAGAGATAAACTTTCAACTGTTCAATGTTGCCCAAATGAATTTTTCTTACCTTTACATGATTGATTGATAAATGTTACCCAATGCACACCATTCATACTCATCATTATTATCATCACCATTATCTGCTGGTTCATTGTTATTCATTTAATCTTCGCCTTATTATTCACCTTTCCATTGTAATTAACAATTCTTTTCATCATTATTATTTCATTAACACTTCAGCCATTCAGCCAACACCATTGTTTAACCATCTTGTTTTCCTACTCATCATCATTAGACAAGTAATGCGTCAGTTTGCGCCAAATTCATTTTCATCTGTTGATCATTGTTTCTCATCTTAATCAGGGCCAAATGTGTTTCAAAGGTGTTTCGAGGGAAGAACAGAAAAAGAAGCGAAAAAATTGTCACAATTATCACTTCATAAAGCGCTCTTCTTTTCCCTCTTTTATCATTATATTTTTTGTTCCATCATTTGTATCATTACCTTTATCATGTGAATGCAATTGTTTCAAAGTAAAGCACAAACATAGGTAATGAATGCTTCTATAGGTAATGATGATGGTTAATAGTTGAACTGTAAATGAGCTTTAATACTCTTTACTCGTTGGGCTTGCCTTGATGGATACAAGGTATTGGTCAATGAACATTATGATTACCCTAAAGACAGGAATTGAGTTTCATGTTCATCGATTTGCTCACCAAAATGTTCTGTGTTTTTCCCTGTAAAACTTTTCTTCTCTTTACTGTTTGCTAGCTTTTTTTTGCTGTTTGTTTGCTTCTTTGCGTTTTGTTTCTTTGCTCTTCATCAGTTTCTCTGAATTCCAATGTTGAAACTACAGTTGGTTGTACAATCTTCCAAATCTTGCAACAACTTTTCCCTCTTTATCCTCTAATAGGTCCCAATAGGGTAATATTATCTGGAAACTTTACTTTTTACCAGACTTTCACTTTCATCTTTCTCTTTCTCTTCCTCTGTGTTTCACCTCCTTCTCTTCCTCTTCCTCCTCCTTCTTGGCTTCCACCACCTTCATCATCTCCCACTTTTGCTTTCACTTGTTCAGCTTTTTCTTTCTTTTTTCATCATTCTCATCATTCTAATCTTCATCATAAAATGGCGGATTCGAAAAACTCATTTCTCACTTTCCATAGAAGAAAAAAACTGTTTTTTTTCTTCGTCTTCTTTTCATCATATTTTCTCATCATTTTTTTGATTCCATTTTTTTCATCATCTTATTTTTGCACCAGACTTTCCATTCTTTTCATTGTCATTACATGTACCATTGCGAGTTTTCATTGAATTGCATCAAGCATTCAATCAACTTTTGCTAACGATTTTATTCATTAATTGTTAGAGCATTTATGTATAAACGAGTCAATTAATAGCTATGTGTCTTCATTTGGTTTAAATTACAATCCATTAAGCATTTTTTAATTTTCTTTGTCATTACGCTTTTATTCAACATTTAATCATCAATTGCTTTAGTTGATGAATAGTTTTTATGCAGACTTGGTTGCAAAGATTCAAGTACAAGATATCTTAGCGATGCTACAGAATAAATGATTTTAATTTTGGACAATTAGATAGCACAATTAATGTTTTAGTGTAATCTCTTAACAAAAAATGCAATTTAAACTCTTTTAGCTGTTTACTCTTTGCTTGGTTATGAATTACTAATATTTGAATGATATTTAACTAACGATTGGATAAACTTTTCATTTTTATTTGTTCTTGTTTCAGAAAATAATTATACGCCAAAAATAGCTCATCTTTGCTCTTATTCAGTTCTAATATAATTTTGGATTACTTATAAAATTAGTTTCACTTATTGATTTTCACCGAATCAAATTTAATGCAATTAATCAATGGACGCATTTGCAGCGGTGGCGTTGCCATCTGGTGAGCTGTAGTGAAAATAAGTCTATTTCTAAATGTTGTAAATGAGTTTGCTGCTGGCATCTGTCGACCTTTTTTATAAACTTTATTGATTTTTAACAACTTTTCGGTTAAATTTTTTCCATAATGAAACCATATTCTGATATGTCATAAAAGTTCATATAAACAAATGGAGAATGTAGATATTTTTATGTAGATATAGAGAGGCTAGATATTTTTTCTAACCTTCCATTATGAATTTAAGAAACAATGAACCTGAACATGATTTACCGGCTTTATTCACACTTCGGCCAAAACTTAATACAAAGCTACATTACCATCACCATTTAGTGTTGTGATTTTCTGTGGTGTTCATTTCAATTTGTTTAAAAACCCTGTGAAAATGTCTTTTGAAAAAATGCAGGTAAATAGTCTTGAAATATCAAATGAAGAGGCGCAAAATCTTAATAAACTGGATTTAAATGAAACAATTGAACCTAGCGCTTTTAACCTTTTTGCAAATTATTATGTTAGAAATGTGTCACTCTTAACCAATGTTGAATATTTTCATGCACGATTTCAAAATCCGAAAAATTTGACCTGCTTCGCCATAAAATTGGAATTTTCTAATGAAGTTGTGGAGGTAGTTGCTGTCTTGAACGAAAAAAGGATGCACGAAATTTGGCAGAAGCTAAAATGATTCAAGAGCCAATACCAGAATACCAAATTTTTTCAACGTAAGTAACCTTGGGATTGTTTCTCAAACGATTTCTAAAACTTTTCACGCACTTTGATAGGCTCATATTATTTTCAATACGATAGGTTTACCTAAATTCAGGGGCATTTGCTTCATGGTAGCAGTTCTCGTTCAATTTTTCTGGTCGCATGACATCGTCATCTCTCTGATGAATTTCAGATTTGAAAACGAATCATTAAAAGGCCGATTGCTTTCGGCTTTGATTAAGCTTTTGTGCATTTATACTAAAGCCGCAAGAAATGAATTTCTCGAAATGATTAACTGCCCAACCAATATGCATTTAAAATATGATCGACCAATCATTTCGAAACTAAAACATAACCCTAGGAGACCTGGATTCAAAGCCGAAGTTGAACTGGACGCCCATATGATGGCAATATTGAAGATTTTAGCGCAGGATAAAAGTATGTCTATTAATGAAACTTCTGGTGAGTTATGACTGATAAATGTTCCATGGTTATATTCTAATCTCAATATTCTAGTTTTTTTACAGGAGGGCATTGTATAAGTTTGTTTAATGATTTACTAAATTCGATTGAAATGGAGTGCAATGAACATTCTGTATATAAGCCGTTGAATCCCATATTCTCAATAATATTTGCGTTAAAAAATGGAATTGATCAGAAAAAAGTTAATTATATTGTAAGAAAAAATTAAATATCCAGGAATTGATTCACTTCAAAAGTTAATTAATACTTCAACTTTAATAAAAGGTAATATTTAAAATATAAACACTTATACAATGATGTTAATTTTAAATAATCTTTTCCTTCAATTCAGATTTCGATCATTTTGTCAATTTACTAAAGATATTGACCTTTCACGTTTCTGATCCTATGGACGAATGGTTAAGCGAGGAAGAGAATCTTAAAATAAATCAGCAGCTGTCAGTTGGCTCATCTAATGTCGATTTAGCTGGTCTGGTTATTGGTTTTCCAGCATACAAAAATGCTGAAGGTGTGATAATAAATAGGTACATCAAATAGAAGCCGGGTTACACTTTGGCTACAAATCATGCAATTTCATTGATAAAAACTGAGGATGGTTTCGTAGAAAGCAACAACCATGAAATTTTAAAGCCAACTAGAGACTACAATGTATTACGCCCGCAAATGATACTTTTTTATAGAGTTCTCAATTAAAATTTTCCACTCATTGCTAGTGTCGTGATTATGCAAGTTGATTTCGATGCTTGAAATTTCGATCAAACTATCTGAATAGAGCAATCAGCGTTTACACCTGTCTGTCAGGTCTTGTATGGTTTACCAAGGCAATTGTCCAAATAATTATGGATGATTTGAAAGTCGTCACATATAAGTTCATAAGCGTTTCTATGAAATTCGGTATTTTAGTCAACATTGAGAAAATGCACCGAACCGGGAGCAGCTTATTTTCACCATTCTTTGGGTAGCATAATTTTCAATCTTCCTTAATGGATCAAATTTGAAATGAAATGCTAAATGCTGCTTAAACTGATTTCACGAGTCTTTTAGTTGATATTTCCACGATAGAAAATTGAATCAAGTCAATTGACAATCATAAAGATTGAATCGAAATTCCACGAACTTCGAACTCCTCCTTAATAGTAACCATTGAAAAATGAGTGCATTATCTCAATATTGACTGTAATAATTTCTCTCTCACTTTTCTATAAGAGGTTGAGAAAATCACTAGAACAAGATTTAGACACAATCAGTTTATTGATATTAAGTTTTTACAGAATTTTCGTTACACACCATCAACTAAGCAGTTCTTGGACAGTAAATGAACTGAATTTTTTCGATACATATGGGCTTCTAGACTGCATCCAAGATTTTCCGGTAAATGTATGATTATGGATAAGTAAAGGTACAGTTGGTAGTTTGAATATATTTGAGACTATCTGCTGACTCTTGTTATCCCCATCTGAGGCTGAATTTGAACATGAAAGGAAATTATCAGTTACACACGAACCCGATAAGAAAGTTTCATCAATTTGGGTGGAAAAGTTTGGACAAGCATTAAATCGGAATGATGATGATGATGAAGTTGATGGCGAAGAGGAAGAAGGCGATGATGGAGATGAAGATGAAGACAAGAGTGTTAAATTGTTGAGTTGAGTGTCAATTTTATCAGAACTTTGATTTGTTGAAGTTGAAAGAGTTACATCTGGAAAATCTGTACCAAAATATTTTCTTCTTCGGATCAACCTGGAAATGGATGAGCCATCCTCTCCTAAGTCAACTGAATTGCTGCAAGATTTTGCTGCAGTCAACATTTCGCTTCTTAAAACTCGTTGAAGCGCCCTTAAATGGCGTTGATAAACCTTCTTTTGCTTAATTAAATCTTCTTCAGTCAAATTGTCCCTCGGTTTACCAAAATATCCTGGCCTGTTGATGATTTTACCCGATTCACGAGAAATTTGATGCCTGCAAAAATATCGAAATGAATGTTCAATTAGATATAGTCAAGTGTTTGAGACAATTGGAGCAAATGAACGAAACATCAAAGCGATCAACGCAACAAAAGATTTTGTTCAAAAGTAACTCAAACTCCGAGAGACCAGAAAAAGACGAATGCAACAATTTTGTTGATCATGAAAGATTGAATGATTGAAAGAAACAATTAAATACATTTAGTGACATTGTTCTCGCAAGGCTGTAGTAGCTCTAACTTTAGACTCTAACGAGCTTAATTGTAGTTTGAAATGAACTGAAACAAATAAAGGTTAAGTCGACTAAAAGGTCTTGTTAGATCGTCTTTCAAAAAGTTTGTATTAAGATTCAATTTAAATGAGAATCTGTTTTAAAGGGTTTAGCAAATTCAATCTATACAATATATAAAGTCAAACTATGAAATTTTTGCGGGAAGATTGTGGCCAAACTACAGTGAGATCCCAGATAATGAGAGTCCCACATAATGAGATAAATTTATCAACGATCCCTAATTAAGGAGGAGTTAATTCAATTTGAATTTTATCAAATTTCATTTTGATTTATTTAATTTTCAATTGGTTTGATTCGAATTTCTTTCGTAAAATATTAATCAAAAAACTCACGAAATCATTTTAAACTAATATTTACGATAAAATTCGATCTATTAAGGGAAATTGAAAATCATGAAATAAGCTGCCCGATGAATAGTGAAAATAAGCTATTCCACAGTACTCTCATTATCTGGGATCTCACTGTAAACGGGTTCTAAAGAAAATTTTCACATAGGATAAAAGCCATGATTAAACTACAATCGCAAAAAATAGTTCGAACTTTCTCGGAATTCAGGTTACTGAGGAATCAGCGTTCAAACAGGGTAGGGGAAAAAATGCAGAATCCGTATCTTTTACTATTGAATTTGGGGGAAAAACTTTTTGGTTATTCAGGTTGAAGGTTTATTGTTGGTTTAGAAGGATAAGTAAAACCGTCTTTCGAGTAAAGAGTTAAGTGAAAAATATAGTACCTTAACTGTACAGAAAGATTTCATTCTGTTCAGCTGTATAACCAGATTTTATTTTATTTTTTAGTTTTTCTCATTGACGATGGTTTTTCATCAAGAATTTGAGTCTTTAGATATGGATTGAATTTATTGTATTTCAGTGAAAAAATTACGATCAGTCATGATCGGGGGTTCCACTTGTTTGATTTAATTGTAAAGCATCTTCAAGTAATTAATTACTTACCTTCTGAGAGCAACTTGAGCAGCCATTACTTTCTGCCGTTCAAGTACAATTAGACAGTTTGGACAATCACATTCCTTCCAACGGCAATACTTTTTGTGACCTTTTAAACACGAAACAACTCCGTGGTTTCGACATCGAGCACATTTAGGAGTCCTCAAGAGTCGCTTAATTCCGTTGGATGAATCAGTTTGACCGCTTTGCACCGTTTCATTGTTGGACATTTGGGTGGTTAAGGGTTCAGTCATTGTGTGACTGACTTTCGCTTTGCAAGCGTTTACTTTACTGAAAATTCGATGGAAAAGTTGAGTTCACTTTTTTATTTTGTACAATCAGAAGGTTAGTCTGGAAACTTTTCGTAAAAGTGAATGAGAATTGAAGATGAAGAGTGAGAAGAGGATAACAGATGATGAAGATGAGAGTAAATGAAGCACCTAAAATGAAAACAAAGAGATCTTTGTGCGAAAGAAGAGGATGAAAGATGATGATAATGATGATGAGAAAATGACGAAAGGAAAAGATAACGAAAGTGAGCCGATGAGAATGTCTTGGCTAAAGAATAGAGTGAACATTCGTCCTTTTCGAGTGATCCTTTTCTTGCTCATCTTCATTCTCACTCTACCTTGATAATCATAATTTTAGCAACAAACATGAACAAAAAGACGAGAATGTTCATCTTTCTTCATCTCACTTTGGTCTTGAGACAATCGAAATGAAATCTTTACTTGAATCAAGTTTCTCTAGTTGAACTCAAATTCAACTTTAAAATATGCCTAATCAATGATGGTGATGATGATGATGATAGGGAATAGCATGAGGATGATGATGATGAGCAAGATCATTGAGTACGTGATTGACTGGATAAAATTTCATTTGTATCACAATTTATCCAACAATTGTACTTTTATTGTTTTGTTTCTCTTCCATGTTAATAACATTTTACTTTAGTCGAGGATTACTCTTCAAGACAGTTTCAAATTACCTTTGAGTTGCTCATCAAAATGCCACCAAACTAGATGAGGATTGTTTAACTTCTTAATCTAATCTTATCCTAAACTCCAAGACAAAAGACAATCTTGGCAGCATTCATATTAATAATGATCATAATAATAATACAATTGTACAATAGAAAATAGAAACGAACAAAGCTCAAATCTTTAAATTGTACAAATTTCGTGAGCTTCCATCATTGCTATCCAACAGACTCGACTGAATATTTAATATCAAGTAATTTCAATCCTTTTACATAATTTATATAAAAATTTGCAAGCTACTGATGATGGCTTCAGTTGAAAGGCCATCTTGAAACAAGCTTTAGCTCAACCTTTCAACAAGTCCGATCTATTGAAATTGTTGATATTGAGATCCCAACCTTTGTGATTGAAAAGCAGAGTCTTGATTATAATATGACAAGTTTTGAGGTGATTTGATCCTGATAAAAATTTTGCTCGTTAAATGTTGGGTATTGAGTTAACCTTAAGCGTTTCAATTTGTATTTTAGTTTCAATGATTGTCTTGTTAATAATAGTCTAATACAAAATAGTTTAAAATAATGATATTGGGCCAAAAATAGCAGGAAATGAGGAGAGATTTGAATAAAGATGTAAAGTTGCAATATGAAACTCAAAGAAAAGCTTTTTGATTTATAAAATTTTTGCTACTTTTTTTGTGTGTCAAATGATGAGCAAGAAAAGCTAACATTTATTTTGTTCATTCTTGTGCTTTATTTGTTGACTTTTTTTTGCCGAGAAAATTTGAAACTATTTTGTTGTAAACAGACAAATATAATTAACCTTAATATGCATATATGCAGTGTTGGATAACATTAAACAGATTTACTTTTGTTTTCAGGTCACTATTTGGAAATGAATCACAATGGTCGGGCCTTTGGTCTTGCCCGCTTCCTGGGTTGATGGTGATGATGATCGTGAAAGGCAAGATCAACAATCATCTTCTCATCAACATTTTCATCTTCATTATGCGCTCAGTTGACTGATGAAAATGATGATAATCTTTCCGGTTGTTTGGTGACCCATCAACAAATGCAAATTTTGCCTCTCATTAGTTGAAAACAAAGGTGTTAATTGTTGATAAACAGTGACATTGCTATAATAAGATTCTGTTATTTTCAAGCCTTAAGTGATGAGCAAAATGATTATAGCAATTTTTGGCTAAACATTTAGCTTGCCAAGTAAATAATGTTTAACCTTTTGTTTACAGTATTAACATTGATAATGTGTGTTATGTGAAACATTTTCATCGGTTATCAGCAGTTTCAGGCATTAAAATTGAGTATATATTAGGGTGTCAAATAAGTTTTGCGGTTGGGTATGAAGTTTAGCTTAGAATTGACTGAAATTTCATTAAATCAAATTATGGACTCGTAGTATTAAAATATCGTTTCAATTTTCCAAATCGAATAATTGATGTTGTTTTTGTGAGCGTCCGAAAATTTATAGCGAAAAAATCGACAAAATTGATTTTGACCTCCGTTCCTGAATAGACCTAGACTTCTTTGAATGAATTTTCAAAAAATTAAGATAGACTGGGGTTCATAGAGATGAGATCAGGTACTTAGATTAGGTTCGCAAGTATTGAGAATCTGAGGTTAAAAATTTTGTGACGCGTCGCTAGAAAATTTGATGAAAAAAGTTGGTGAAAAAAAAAATTTTGGTCGATTTTTGTACCCTTTAAAAAGCTGTAAAAATGCAATAATTTTGTGAATATTTGTCCGATTTTGATTTTTTTTGTTTTATACTGATTAATTAAGGCTAAGTAATGTTTTAGCCAAAAAAGATCACAATCAAATCTTTTTTTCATAGTGAACCGCAAAATATATTTGACACCCTAATATAATCAGTATAATTGAGATTCATGTAATACATAACATTTAATGCCAGGTTATAATAATTTTTCAATCTTTATACAACACAATCAGCTGAACTAGAGTTGTCTCTCATTGACTTATTGATCAGTTTGTATTCGATTGCCACCAAGCGTCTGATTGTATTTAGTAATACAATTGTGCTTTTTTCAATTGAAGTGGTAATTTACAATTGCGATATTGTCAACCTTTTGATAGCGTTTGTTTTGTCCAGCTTTGTGTTTGCAGAGGTTTGGCTCTTTGAATGGTCCATCGACTGTTAATATTGTTATTAACATAGAAACCAAATAATTGGAAGAATCAAGAGGATTGGTAAGGATAATTTAAGTCTCGAAGAATTGTTACATCCATCAGCTGAGCATGTTAATATACAACCGGCCAACGTTTCACCATCAAATTTAAAAGTACCACATTGGTTATCCATGTTTTCAATTGAACAAGTGCGAATAACTAATTCTTCGTTTGTTTTATCTGTAAAGGATATGAAATGTAATTATTCATTATACTAGGATTGAAATTACGTTACGAAAGCACGTTACAATTGAGCTTACCGCTTCGACCTTTAACTTTAATACAAAAATTGGCTGGAAACTGTCCAATATGTCTTTCTTTTCCTACTTTACAATGCTGGATATAAGTAACATTTGCAGGATGAAATGGATCATGGCAAGGTGAATGAGTTAAATTGCGACTTGAGCAGCTAAAACAGCTTATTCCGTAGGCTATAGAAATGATAAACAAATAATGATCATTAGAAAAATTACCAGTTAATCAAGTATTACATTGAGTATATGATGATTACATGGAACAAAAGTCAAGAAGTATAAATAAACTAAACCTTGACTTTTTGTACATCGCAATTCATGTAATCAAACATATACTATCACAAACTGTGAAAATATAAATTATAAATACCAGATTTTAGATGTATTAGCATTATGAAACCAATAAGCAGAATTATAAAGTGAAAATTGAACCAAAAATGCCTGTGAACAGCACTAAATGTAGTAGATTTTGGAAGACCCATTGAACTGAAGCAGAAAAAAGAAAAAAGATTAGAAATGTTGCTTGATTTTTAAAAGATCAACTTACCTGGCTGGCAAATTAAAAGCTATAACATCTAATTTGTACAATATTTGTATCTGTATGAAAAGTGCGAAGGAACAATATTAGTAAAAATGTATTAATACATCGAGAATAAACATCAACAATATTCACCAATGTTAACCCTTAAAGTAAAATATAGACATGAACATTAAACATAAACATGTGATTCATTTCAAAGATGAGTCGCATTATCATGTTATAATCATGTTCTGTTCAGTCGCTACTCAGAAGTAAATAAATTTTATTAAAATCGACTGTAGAATGAAAATAACAGGTTATTGGTGGCTAACAGAATGAATATTGATGAAGATTTGGATAAAAAATTCAATTTAAACTTACCTTGGACTATTTTGCTGACTCGGTTGAACGCGGTTTATTTTCATTAAATTCATTGAGTTTAACACTGCTGATGATTAATTTATTGCCGTCTGTTATCCAGCATAGATAAAAATTAGGTGAATTAATTATAACTTTAGACGAACAAAAAATATACAAAAATTGCTGATTCTGTTAAATTAAAAAAACAAAAACACTTGTAAATCCATTGAAGCTCTATTACGAATGACTCTATATCTTAGGAGTCACCATCACAAGTCGAGTAAACTGTAAGAACCAGTAAATTTGAATTTCATGGCAAACTGTCGATCTATTAATTCGGCTGTTAACAAATGTGATTTACACAACGATTAAATTGTTATTATTATCATATTTTGCAAATGGTAAGTTACATCTAAAAAGGATTCCAATACGAAATGGGTTGAACTGCGCATTCTTGAGTAACTGGAATATCGATTGGTAACATTAATGGGTAACATCGCTTTCTGGTTATCATGGTAACATTATTATTCTGGACACTCTTTTGAATCTATTGAAATAGTCGAAGCTGCGATTGATTGATTAACAATAACTTGAACAATATCGGAACAGAAAAACCAGGAAAACTAATCATTTCAAGTTAATCACTGATCGATTTTGACATCAACTGCCATGGCTAATCTTTAAAGTGCATAATCAAGAATTGTTTCACAGATTCAAAATTCAATTGTATTTTTATTTGTAAACGATCAAGAATAATATTGAAAAATTTATCAGAATAATCGTTAAAATTGAATTTTGGGTTACAAATATTTCTATGGACAGTTTTAATGAATAAAACCACCCAAATTGATTCGGTTAAGATCTGTAACTCAAGATGAATCAACATTGCTTGGCTTTAATCCAAAATTGAATTGTTGCTCCTTTTGCATGATTTTGTTTCTTCTGATTCCAGTTATTGTTGTAAATGTAAACTGTTTCAAATTACCGTAATAAGCTTTGCCAACAGACCTCACAGTCTTTTCATTTCTTTTATCACCTTCTTACAGTTGTAATTAATGTTCAATCCTGAATCTGAGTTTATTCATTCATAAGCTGAATCGTACTTGAAATACATGAAATGTATTTATAATCTTGTTAGACTGACTTAATTCATTGGGCTCAAGTCACATTTGATCAAGATCTTACAATATTTTGACAAACTGTCTAGATTGGAATCAAGTTTATTTGAGTGTTGATTGATTCAATTAGCTTATTATTGGTAAATGGTTAGCAGTTAAAATTCACATTCTGGTGTAAAATGGCTTCTAATTGATTTGGTGACAAATGTCTAGCAAAGTTTACGCTAATTTGTTTACTCCAGTGTTGTCTTGGACAATTAACAGTCTCATCTCCAAGGATAATTAACAATCAACTCTAATAATCAACTGGACGTAAATTGAAAGCCAACCAAACATAACAACAATTTTCAAACAATTGCAAACATAACAATGCTAATGGAGGTGATGATGTTTATTGAAACCAGATTCAACCCAAATACAAAATGGTTAACATACTGAGCCCCTTGTGAGATAAAATACAATCAAGGTAAACCATTGTTTTCCTTTTATGATTTATCTACAATTATTAGTTAATTTTTAAATTTAATGCTTCTCATTGATTCTCAAACTGACTTTCTACTTTGCTCCAACTTCATTTTCAATTTGCTTTCTCACTTTTTGATTTACAACTTCACACAATAGTTAACATTTACATTTAAGGTAAACTGGCAAACCTTCACCAACATAAAACTGCTTTGAACGTTTAGTGGCCATATTTTTACATCGTTTAACTGTCATCTTAATATTGTGTTGGTTAAAATTTTAACCTAATTGTTTGATATTGGTCAAGTTCATTCAGTGTTGAATGATGCTCAATCGACTTTCGATCCTTTTTGAGTAAGTAATCAGTAATCGTCTTTTCCTTTGAATCCAAATTGTTTTATTGTTGGACGTTCCTTGGGTTGATAGTGATGATTAATTTTGTGTCTTGTTGTGTCAATCTAACAATTTAGTTGCTCCAAATGGAGGGAAACAGAACAATGTTTAAAGGAAAAGTTAATTGTTCTGGCGGCCATCAACTTACTTCTACAAGTAATCAGCTTTCTTGTTTTAATATGGCCCTTTGCTGCTTATCGGTACCTTTGGTACTCAATTGGTCATCTTATTATTTTACCGTTGTTCTTGGTCTCTCTGTATCGTGAATGGGCTGAGGTTCTTCGTTATATCCGTATGTTGCTCATCATTGGCCAAGTGATTATCGGTTTGAGTTTAATTTATTTCATCTTTGTCATCGGTACGGATCCTGATGGGAAAGAACAATATCGAGGCGCTAATCTTTACTCGTTTTTTGCTTTCATCATAAATCTTCCACTTCAAGTTGCATCCATTTTCTTCCTTGAACTTCTTCTCGAGCAAATGCCAATTGACGAAGAGTAACCTGTAATCCAAATTTAAAACAATCAAATTATAGAGATTCATCTTGTTCTTTTATAAGTGCATGGAGATTTTTACTCAGATTAGGTTTGTATACAATTATATCAAATTATTTAGTTGAACTATTCTTGAAAATGGCTTATACTAAAAGAACATGAAATAAACGTAAATTTCTAAGAATTAAGTTCTTGTATCACAAATTAAATGTCAGCAAATATTTTATTTACAAAACACACAGCTTGTAAGTTGTGTCTAAATCCAAAAAATATTTCGTAGAAATTTCATAAAATTGTAAAAATGATAAGAACTTTTCTCACCTCCGAGTTTATTAAATAACTCATATCTTCATCATCTTGGAAATCACCGAGTCACTAATCAAAGTTTATCAAAATACGTTGTCGTTACCAAAAGAAAATACTTTACATTTTTGCAGAAAGCCTACAGTTCAGACAATATCAAGAGAAGACAGCAATTAAGGGGAAAATTCTGTACAATTGTTTCAACTTAAAATCAGAATAGAACAGCAATTGAAAAAATTAAAACTCAATCACAAAAATGAGTTGTTAGTTACAATTTGCAAAAATATTACGACAGATGGCGACAAAATCTGCGTAAATTCAATCAATTGTAATTAGTGTCTTTCTCACTCAATAGATGACGCTATAAGTAACAAAATTTACACAATTTTTGGTTTTAATTTCATTCAAGTTGAATATTTTATTCGAGTTTTAATAAGTTTCAAATTATAATCACATTCTCATCCTAATGTTTTGTTCAAATAGTTTATTTTTAAGTTTTTCGTGTCTGGGACTTTGAATGTTATGCCTGTGAATATGGAAACCGCTTTGAATATTAAACATTTAACCTGCTTAACATAGATCACTGAATCGGCCCAAAATGTGACATGTAAAAATTATGACGGAACAAAAACAAGAAACCAGAAAAAGGACATTTAAGATTTTTGACCTGAACCGCTGGAGTATAACCGTTGAGATTAACAGTATTTTCATTCCTGTAACAAGGCTAAATGAACATCATAAATAGTATCAATAAATTGTCTTAATCAAAGCTTTTGAAAGCAAATGAAAATTAATGGCTAAAATCAACCGGTTATTGCTCTGAAATACTTTCTCAACGTTGAATAACACACTTGAAACTGGTATCTGCGAATAGACATGCAAAAAGTACCCAAAAAATGGGTTCTATTTTCAAGATTCGGTTGCTTTGCTTTCCATGTTTTTTGTAAACAAAACTTACAAAGATACATCTATTTACATCAATTAATGTTTGTGTGTTTCTTTATGTAAACAATTTAACCTCTTAACCTTGTTAATTAAATTACTTAAATTGTAAACTGGTTATGTGAGGTGAAAGGAAAGGCTAAGATTGACAATTAACAATGACAACCATAAACTGATTGAAGGTAAGAATAAAATTTTTATATTTTTCCCTTTTATTGTTTTACTTTACGTTTGTTTTTATTTTGATAGACATGAAATTTTGTGAAATGAAAGATGATAATCCGCTTTTCCTTTTGATTAATGGTAAGATTTAATTCAATTTAATGACACTTTTCACTTGGCCAGATGAAGATGAGCACAATTAGCGAGAATTAAATTAATTTTTATTTTCTTGTTTGTTCGCAGGTCATTGCTACTTGACCGTGTGAGAGAGTAAGATTATCGTCTAATTAACAGTTGAATATTAGAGACAAAGATGAAGAAGAAGAAGAAGAAAGATTGAAGACAATCTTCATCATCATCTGAATTTTGTTCAACTCTTTAATGACACATTTACCTCTCATCTTTCTCATCATCGCCATCATCTTCATCACCAGTTAAGTGACCGGTTAGCCGCAGGTTATTTTAATTGTTGACCTTTTTCTTTACTTTTGACCAACAAACTAATCACAATCATGAGAGCAACTTGGTTGGACTTCACTGGACATACTTTGTGTGTTCACCGCTAAATTGGTCATCATGATAAGATGAAAGTAATTAAAGGCCAAAATTAAAGCAAGAGTAAAAGTCTAACCGTTATTTTATTGTTTAAAATTGTGATAATTGTAACAATCGCCCGTCTAAATTGAGTTCAACAGTTTTCTGCTAATTTTCAAAATTATCACAATCAGTTAACATTATTTGTACTCTTTAATAAATGAATACAAAATTGAAAACAAAGGGCATGGTCAGCTTACAATAGCAATGATAATAAATTATTAACTCAATGACCCTAAAGATGAATCACTGAGAAGATTTTAAAATATATTTTGGCTTCAATTTAATGGATAACAGAGCAACTAAAGGTAACAGTTGAAAGGTTATCTTATGGTCATTTTAGGCTCATGGAGAGCTATTATTTAGAGTTGATTAAACATTGAGATATTAAAATAAGGAGTAAAGATGCAAATCAAAATGCGGTATCGCATGATCAGCTTATGGTTAGGCGTTTTCCTCTTCAATCATCTTTCCATCAATTGAAGTAAACATTTTCATTGATAATTTTGTACCTTAAACAGATCAAAAAATGTTCATCTTGAACGAGTTTAATTCAATTTTGAGGTTGATATGAGAAGAGTATTATTATGTTTTGTTGCCCGTTAATCAACATTTGGTTTTAAGCTTCAAAAATTATGTTTAACCACACCTTTTAACCTTTTACCTTTGAACCGGTAAACATTGAGAGTTTGATCTACTTTGATCATGTTTAATTGGGAAAAGGCGAAATTAGTTTAATTAAACTTTTCTAAAATCATTTGTTTCATCTGCAAACTTACACTGGAAACCATATGATGAAAAGCAAATGTTAAAACACATTTTCCTTTATAATTGACCTTTTTTTTGCCAGCCAACAATTAGATTAACTAAGATAAATTTTAATGGCTTTTAATTTTAACACGAAATGCTCAATGGTTGGTTAAGTCATGTGAACATGTAAATGAAGGCAAAGTTATTTGAGACAATTTAAAAATTCATTTTTGTGGCCAATTTTAATTATAATTAAATCATAAATAATCAAGACTAGGCACACCCTGAGTCAAGATTCAAGGTCTTGATGGGGTTCATCCCAATGGCTACTTTTCAAATGTTCACATTTTTCCCTGTGTTTACCTGTGTTACAATGGATCAGTTGCTTTTGTCTTCAAAATTTCAATCCATTCTGGTTACTAATGACGGTGACATTCATAGACAAGCGCTAATTGACCTGGACAGACAACAAGATGATCATCAATTAAGGATATCGATACAAAGGTTTGACAAGAAAAGGGTTTACAAATGATGTCCAGAGTAAAGCCACTGAAAGTGTAACTTATTAGTTTAGGTCCACCTTTTTGATTGAAACAACAACATTATCGTCATTATAATCATCTTTATCATTATCAAGGGAATAGCAAGTTCCCATGAGGTGAAGTTGAAGACGAACGGAAGACGAGAGCACTCTTAAGACGTTGACATTGACTCCTTACCATTTGATCATCATCTTCGTCTTCAATCTTGTCTCTCTCATCTCACTTCAGGAGGCTTTAAAGGTACATTATGTTGTCCCTGAGAAAGTTAAAGGTAAAAAATTGTTAGGTGTAAACTTATCGAAGCATATCGAAAGAGCCCAGCCCAAAGAGGTTGCTTATGTGTCCTTCGTATAGCAACTTACCTGAACTTGGAGAGAGTAAGAATCATTTTTGATGATCAACATTAAAACATGTATCTAGAGTTTCACGTATTCACATGGTTTTTTTGTGTTGTTTCAACAACAAAAGGTAAGATTGAGAGATGAGAAATTAGTAAGGAAATGGTTTAACAAAATAAGGTAAAAAGGGCCAAAAAGTAGAAGATAATTGAGAATGAAAACAAAACCAGAGGACACGAAGAGACGACAATAAATCCAGACGGAATACGGTTTCGTTCAGATCGCCTTCATCATCCTTTCATCATTATCATCTTACTCTTTCTTGCTTGGGATTTTTGAGGTAAATGTTTGTATCCTTTGGAGTTGGTACTTGAGGCAAGTCATCTGTTAACTATGTACATGAGGATGATGATGTTTTGGATGATCGTTATGCATGGTTATCATCTCTCTTTCTGGCTTCTCTTTCTTTGTTTTTCCATCGAAATTCAAGTGAGAAAAAATAAGTTTGAGAAAAAAAAACGAGAAAAGATTATCAAGATTTTTTCTTTCAGTCTTTTGATTTTCATTTTACTCTATTCAATTTATCTCACTTGATTGCTCATCCCTAGCTTTAATAGACAATTAATTGATTTATATTCAATGGGAATAGTCCATGATATTTGCATCTTCAGAGAGACAGGGATGATGATGAAGACGATTATGATGAAAGTGAAAGTAAACATTTCTTTTAGCACGCAATTGACATTAAAAATTAGCCATTTCTTTAATCATTAAGCTTGATATTTTGTGTAATTGGACTTGTCCTTTGTCTTCTTCCTCATCTTTTTTTTGCATCTTTTTTCACCATTTTACTGCAGTTTTGGTATTACTTTTTACAGCTTCCTTTTCATGTAAATGGTGATATTTTTGCCGTTGTTTGTAGGTTTCCATTTTCACATTGAAAATTTTTACTTTTTTGAATTAATTTTTGCTTCTTTTTAATTCCTGGCTTTGAAATTTAAGGAGTACAAATTGGTTTTCGTTGAATATTTCATCTTCTGCCGGTTATTTGCTTGATTATGTACTTTATGATGGACAGGTTATTCAATCTTGGCTTAGCATGGATTTGATACTTTATTTTTGGTGTGTTTTGTCAGGTTGAAGGAAATTTGATATCATTTGGCGCGACCATCAATGATTTGTAAGGTAAATCATTTGAATCACAACTGTAGTAACACCTTAACTTGACAGTCAACTTGTAACTCATTTTTTTGGGATCCAACATTAAAACTTTAAACAATTGTAGATATATATTAATAACCAACATCTTTTTATCACCTGATCTTCCTCTTGTTTATGGTCAATGAAACATGAAAAGTTGCCATAAATTATGTAAAAAGGTTTCAACATTGTTTCATATTACAAACAGTATGAGTTAACTTCTCATCTAATTGTACTTTCAATCCAGGAATAGATGAATAACACACAAACCTATCAGAGATACAATGAAAAGATCTAACCTCAATATCATGAATAGAAATATGCTCAATTGTTTGATTAACCGAAAAAGCAAACTTTTTAAAGCTTTAAATTTGTACAGCAAATCACGTAACTTATCAAGATTTAAGTAAGTGTTATACTGTCACAAAGGCTTGCAGTTTTACAATTGTTTTTGTGGGCTGAAGCAAATTTATGGTTATTGTTAATAACACAAAACAGGATAATTCACACGTTCATTTAGAGAAGCACATTGTCCAGCTTGTTTCCGCGTTTGCTTCATGAAAACAGATAGATTTTAAGATGTTTAAATTATCATTGATATTATCGATATTCGTGGCCGTTAAATTGTTGTTGACGGTAAGACTGTCGGATTTGAGCCTAAAATCCAATTCATTGGAAAATGCGGTTCCTTTCCAATTCCTTTAGCTTTCTAATTTTCCGTCAAAAGGACAATAGGATTAACCCTTTAATCTTGTCAAGACAAACTAAGTCAATGCGCGTTAAAAGGTGCACTAAATGGCTGTTAATTGATCCGCTCATTTCACACGAAGATGAGATGAAGCTTTAGAGTCTATGAATATTTCCAGATTGATTCCAAATGTTTCAACCAAGTTTTTATTAACTGCTAATTAGTCTCTACTGATTTAGGATCACAGTCTAAGATGTATAGCATTATCAAGTCCAAGTTTTTTTTGTAGCTTCCATTGGCTTCCATTGTCGCTGTTGTCAATTGATAAGCTGAATTGAAACCATTAGAGATTAACTGGGTGATTGATTGTTTAAAGCTCAATGAAAAATCTAACTCAATGAGCCTTAAATAGTGCAAGACTCGTTTTTTTGCTGTTGCTGCTCGCTTCTTAATCTTTAAAAGCGGAAACTATTATAAAGAAGTGCAATAACCATAAGGTAAAGATGATCATCTTCATCTTCATTATCATAGTCTTGATCCTCGCGTTTTTTACATCGGCATCCCAAACTTGTGAGTAACTTATGAGTAACTTGTGATGTGCATAGCTTAGTAATGAAGATGAGCGTGTAACAGTGATTAAAAGACAACTGTATTACATTAGGTCAACTGCTTTGTGACGGAAGGAAGGAGAAGAAGATGCTGTTGTTGATGATAATGACGATGAAAGTAAAGAAGCTGAAATAACTTGGAGATGCTGTAAAATATTAACACATTTTTTAACTTTATCTTCATCATCTCTTCCATTTGACTTTATTAACAGCTCTTCAAACATTATAAACAGCAAAAAAACTGAAAAATGTTTAGGCCAGAGTTTCAGCTTGCTTTTTTTTCTTGGACAAAATGGCGTCTGTCATCACCTTAATAACCTCAATGTTTTTCATCTCTCCTCTTTGCCAATTTCAGTGCCCTTGGAACCAATATTGATAGTAAACGTAATGATCCTGTAAATAAAATTAAAACTAATTATTAAGAAAGACTTGGATTGAAGTTGAAATGGGCAAATAAAACCAACAAACAGAGTATAACTGATCATTGATGTTACAATAATATGAAATGTAATTTCTGCAAGATAAACAGTCTGGACAAGTGTAATTTTTATGTAATGTTAAGTCTGGCATTTACACTTTTGATCAGCTTTACACAATCAATCAAAAGGATCATTAATTAAATTAGGGGGATTCAATATGTAAACTGAATCAGTTTTCAACTCACCAATCATTAATATTGTCCAGCTTTTACTTGGTTTTTCTCATTTTCCAGTGTTGATTGATGTATCAATGTTTGGTTTACTTCTCGATTCCATTCAACCTTTTCACTATTTACAATATTTGAAAATGGTTTATCAATATAGAGCATGTAATTAACTTTTCAGTTTTTAGGTCTTGTAATTCAGCTGATGAAATTTTGTGAAATGAAAAAAGCTCTATTCTGGGCTGCTGTTGTCAACCATTATTGGAACCAATTGTTTAACTGTCATCTGCATTGTAAAGCAAACAAATCACGGTAATTTAACTGTTTTCTTTATTCCATCTTTGTTTATCTATGCTTGTCTCAGACTTTGTCCCATGTTAATAAATCTGTATCTCTCCATCTTTTCCTGATGATTACCTTTAAGACCGGATTAAATTCGTTCTATTGACTTTTCACTCCTCCAAAGATTCTTATCTTTTTCATGTGGATCTTTTGCTCCTCTTGATTCAATTTGTCATCCTGCTTTGACTTTTTTTATTCTTAACCATCTCCAGAATTGTCAAAAGTATACAAAATCATCACCAATAGGATTAATTTGACAATAGTTGCCTGTAAAAGTCAAAAATAAAACAATTTAGAGTAGCATCTAATTTGCGTAATGCAACGCATTTTTGTTGACATAACATTGCCTTCAAGTCACACGGCTAAAATAGCTTTATAATAAACACTAACCTGAAACAATAATCACGCAGTTATTTAACAATTTGCTACCTTAACATGGCCAGGACAAAATACTTGATTACATTTGGTTAATTAAATTAATTCAAAGATGGAAATATTAAAAAGAGTTTAAAAATAAACAAGAAAAAAAGCTAAAATCAATGAATCTAAAGTTACCTAAGAGATGGCGCTGTTTACATTAAAAAAAGTGTCAGACGATTTAACTTTTCTCGTGTTTTTATCCAGTTTTCAATTGAATTGATTATTAATGATCTTGAATAATTTTGGAAGACAAATTAACATCGAAATGTTCTTTTTTTGCTCTTCTCGATCAACTCGTCTTCATCTTAGCTTACATATGGTACAAAAGAAAGGGAAACAGTTTGCCAAGGACCGAATCAAGGAGTGTCACCATAGCCTCACCTTAATACAAGCTTAAGATAATTGTCTTGACAATTGTCCTCTTCTCTCTCTCTCTTCCTTTCTTTCAACCTTTCTTTGAATCATTAATTTTTATCGAACCTTCCTTGTACTTTTCACTAACATCATCATCTTACCTCTGTTGTTATCATGCAAATAAGTAAATAATACTTGAGATGGTAACAAAGCTTGGAAAGATGGTTGAAGCCCGGTAAGAAAGAGGTTGATCAATTGCATTTTACCTAACACTTTGTAATCTCATCTTATATGTAAGGTAAGTAAAAAATTATGACAAACAAACCTCAAAATCTGTGTACAACATAAAAAACTTTCATGTAACCTTTTTCTAGCCTGATTCTTTGTAGATTTCTATTAATTTTGCCTTTTTTCTCTCTCCTCTGCTTCTATTTTCAGGACAACGACATCTTATTATTTTCTTATCATTCTTTTTTTCTTCTCCAAGATGATTTACTGATCCGTTTCAAGGACAGGTCAAAACGTTGAGGTTGATCTTTACAGTAGCTGGGAATATTGAGTTTTATATCATACATCATATTTATCATTATCAAGACCACATACAGTTATCATAGATGAAAGACTTAATGTTACGTATTTGCTGGAAATACCTTTTTTGCCCAACTCTTTGTCTTTCTCGGATTACTTGAAGTTGTTGCTGCCATTTCACACAAGAGATCACTCATTTTATTATCTTGGCCTTTTTTTACTCCGTATCGCTGGCGGTCGTTGGAATCTTCATTCTAACCATCCACTCTTCTTCCTCCTCCTACTCCATCCCATCATCATCATCATCAACTTGCCCTTCAATTTTTTGCTGTTTGACTTGTGTCAAAAATGAATGAACTGTCAAATTAAACGTCAATAACATTTATCATCACAAAAACAAGCAAACGCCAATATTTTGAATAATTTGTTTTGCTTTTTGTTTTTGTTTCTAGACTGATAAGTTCATCAAAAAACCGGAAACACAAAAGACGAATAATTTTACTGTTGATCTTTAATTTTCAACTCTCACCATTAGCATTGTAAACCAACAACCAGACAATTTGATAGAAATTCAAATTGCCAGCTTGAATGGTTATTAATAGATTTCAGTGACTACTTTTTCTCAGATTTTTCAACCAATTTTGAAACATTTAATTGTGCGCAAGTTGATGGTGATGATAACGCTAACTAAATGGTAATTACAGGTTGTTAAGTTCTGTAAACCCAGTTTCCAGGTTTGAACATAAACTCGTTTCGAGAAGACATTTGTCAATGAAATTGATTAACCTGATCAATGAAGTGTAATCTGTTTCTCTCTCTGTCAATCAAATAAGTTTGGAAAGGGATAGTGATAAAAGGTAAGTTGAAGAAGAGGAAGAAAAATGGAGAAGGTGGAGATTTAATTCATTAAACTTGTGGATATCAGTGTGAGAATTGTTTGTCATGAGAATCAAATTAACATGAAGACGATGAAGAATATTTTTTAATTTCTTTTTTCTTCTACTTTTTTTTCTAGATAATATATCTTTGGTTATACAGAGTTACAAATAACATCATCATTCACAATGACAGGAGCAACAACAAAAAGTACCATGAATGATTCGGAATGAATACAATAACTAATAGCAAGCAAAAAAGTGTCGTGAGTAAAACCAGATAATCACAGGTAAAAACAAATGTTTACCATTTTAAGCTAAACTCTAATTTTACCTTTTTTTGTCTTACCTGTTTCTTTTTGCAGTGATTCGTAACTTACATTTCAACTTTCCTTTCATCTTGATCATCTTTACTCAACTTGTTCTTGCTGTTTATTAACTTAATTAGAGAGAATTAAAATTGTCACTTTGTCCTGGAAAGTAAGCAAAAGTGGGAAACATTTTATCCATTTTTAAATCTACTCGTTTCAGCATAAGTAACAATTTCAGGAGATTATTCAAAGTTTCACATGCGAATAGTGATAATATTGTTATAAAAAAATTGTTAAAATGAGCACAATGTAGATGTTTAATTGCAAAAGAAAATAGTTTCCAAGGGTAAAATTGATTAACTTGATTAACTTATCAAAATCAAATCTTAATCAAATCACTTGTCCTTCTGTGAGAGAGTAAACAGTCATAAAAATCAGCTGAAGTAACAACCGAAACGAGTTGAAAGTTAAAAATGGTTAAACATGTACCTGACTTGGAATCAAACAAATGGTCAAGTTAATGTCCAATAACTGTCAACCTAATGAGCTACAATAATCAAGCCTAACTAGTCGATGGTAACCAGAAGAGATTGAAAACAAAAGGATTTGTGATTGGACAAGGGTTCGATTTCGGCTGCCAAATGAGGTGACTTAATGAGCCTTACCATGAAGATGACTCTGCAAAGTGAAAGACACACAAAAAAGGTTAAAATAATGCTAAAGGGCACAAAAGTAGTAGCAAGAATTGGGTTGTTGTTTTGACTTCTGTTGATTGTCTTACCTGATGATGGTTACTGTGAATATTGTGTGTGTACAAAAAAGTAAGGCTTGGCTTTTTTTTGCAGGGAAAAGTTGCTAAAGTATTCTTAATTTTCCTTCATCATCACCATCATCATTATCATCTTGCTGCTCTTTATTTTGTATCTTTTTTGCCTCTTCATTTCATACTCTTCCTATTGACAGACAACAAAATAGGAAACCTGGGAATGATGATAAAACATTTTACAATCATCATGAGTAGAGCAGTGATGAGCCGAGTGATAATGAAGATGATGTTTAAGAGGAAGATACTTTGACAAAATATACTCTAGTTAATTTAACAATTTTCAATTCAAGAAACGTTGTTAATCTTCACCTTTTTTCTTGTACAGAATCTTTTTTCTTCTTCTCTTCCTTCATCATCATAACCATGATTAGCTGTGTAGATGTTTGTGTGTATATTTGTGAGGCTCACACAATGATAAACTTCAAATTGTAATCACACTAATGACAATCAGGGAACGTTTAAAGATGATTTAAAGATGCTTCCATTAAATGTTACTGTAAATGCAAATTGCAAAATTGTTTATTAAAGGTTAAACTTTTTCTTGGTTGGTGAGAAGATGATTTTAATACATGAAATGAATCCTTTTTAATTTACTTTGATTGTCTGCCTGTGTTTAGTTAAATGATGTTGATGATGAAGATGATAATTCATTTAATCAAGAATGCAATTGCGTTAATTTTGTGGCTTAATTTCTCACGGTAAACCATTTTTGTCTCACAAAACAAAAAAGTAGCAAACATTTTACAAGAATAATGATAAAGATGAACATTTATCACTAATCCTCCTCCTCACCATCTTCATCAACCTGATCATCTTAACCAACTAACTATGCCATTCAATGTAAATGTGTGTTCACTTAAAACAAACAAAACATTGTAACTCTTTTTGTTTCCCATTTCAATCTTAAAGGTAACTTTGTCAAAATGCAATTGCAATCATAAAAAACTGATTAAACTGATTTGAAGGTTTGCACGTTCAGAGTAATAAGTGAAAAAAGTGTAAATTGCAAATCGCAAATGAATATGAAAAAAAAGAGCAAATCTTAAGTAAAGGTGCATATCAAGATGAAAAAGACAGTGAAAAAACAAGGTAACACAGAGATGAAGATGATGAAGATGATGAGGATGAAGTAAAAAGAGAGGCAACCTTAATTTACGTGGGAACCAAAATTTAAGATTTTTATTTAAGTTTACTTGTTATACCTTTTTTACAGCAAAAAAGAGGACTTTTCAAGTTTCCTGAGACTTTGCTAGTTGTTTTTATTTTTTGACTAGTTTTGTTGTTTCCAAAGTCCCTGGATCTAGTTCAATCTCAATGTACTCGTACTGGTGTGAGAGGTCAGGTGACTTGAGTGTGCATCTAACAGTCCATGGCAAGGCTTAACGAGTCTCAGGCCAAGCTAACAAGAGTGAGGTTCAACTGGTCGTGTTGAGAAAAGAAACTCTGATCTGGACTTCGAAGGAAAAAAAACACGCGATGGGAAAATAAAAGCAAAACCAGCGATTCATTTTAAGACGGTCCAGAGCTTGCTTTTTTTAATGCTTTCTTAGCAAAGCAGATGTCCTAAGATTCGTCCAAACGAAAGAAAACTGGACTTTTCTCTTTTCCATCATCTTTATCTTCTCCTAAGTCCATTTCTCTCTTTCTATTTATCTTTCTTTTCTCATCTTCTCACTTAAAGCTCTCTTTCTTAGCCAACCTTGTACTGTAGTAAGACGAACCATAAGACCATACGAAAGGAGCTCAACATATGCTCATATCGAGACAGACGGAAACTCTCTCATCATCATTTTCTTCTTCTCCTTCTTTATCTTCCTTAACCTTTCTGATCGCCAGTTGACCTAAGGTTTTATGTTTTTTTCAAGGTTTTCTTAGACAACGCTAGAAGCCATTTTACCTCACAATGGAGGCTTCCGATGGTTGCTGGCCTTGCGTCTTGTAACTTTTGTTGGTGAGTCTAAAGGGTTGCTTTGTGTCAAATAGAATGATCAAGATGATGAAAAGAAAGAGAAGGAGTGAGGGAGTGAAAAAGACCGTTTGATCAGTCAGTAAAGGGTAAAGTTTTGTTCCACTTAAAACCTCTTCTCTCTTACCTTTTCATTTTTCATCCCCATTATGGACCATTTAATATCCAGTTCCGGTTTAAAACGCTTTACCGTTTTCTTTATCCATTTCTTTACCAACATCCACTATGATAACCCTTTCCTTAACTCTTTTTTTTTGGCTGGTTTGCAGAGTTTTCCTTGCTTAACCCTTTAAAGAACCTTTTCTTTACCACCTTCCTTGGCCAACCCCAACCAAACATGGAGCATAATTTTGTCAAAGCTTAAACATGAACATATTGAACCAGTCAAAAAACCATAAAGTATAATAAAAGTGAAAGGATTGTCCATTGAATTAGACAACTGGAAGAGTTGCTCAAAATTTTCTCCTCTTCTTCTTCTTTTCCGTCGTCTTCTTTATCAATTTCATGTTGTCACTTTTTGCAACTGTTGTTGTTGATTGTTGTTGATTGTTGTTGTTTATTTCCTCTCTTGAAATGCATCTTTAAACTCCTTTAACTCTTTAGCTATTTAACTCTTTCAAAGGTTTCAAATGGACATTACGATTATTTCATTTCCTTCCGATCCCATTTAACTTATCGTTTTCACATTGCTGTTTCCTGTTATTCGCTTTGGGCTTGGTTTTGTTGATATTGTTGCTTTACTCTGTTGTTTGGTTCCTCTCCAATGAGTTAATCAGTCCACAATCAGTTTACTATCATCATCACCAGCTTTATCATCATCTTCTGCAAAAACATCAACCATCAAGAACAACATCATCCTTTTACAACTCATAACCTTTACCCAATCTCTTGAAACATACAGTAAACATATACTCTTAGGTCAAGCAAAACCTTCATATGTAACTTCATCTTCATCTTTATCTTCTCCTTCTTCTTCTCCTTCTTCTTCTGTCTTTAAACTTGCTGGTTCCAACATCTTAACAACATTTGAACATATGCCTTATGTCTTCCAGGTAAAATTAGTTTCCGCAGATCAACTGTTCGCTCGACTTTTCTCAACGCTTCCTTTTACCTAACCTGACCTTGACCTAAACATTTGCTGGAAACATTTTCCTAAATATAAACTTTAAATAAACTTAGAAGCAAAGGAAAAATATACAAATTTGAAAAACAGAAACATTGAATCTTTGGAAATCTTGAAATAATCTAAACTTCTTGATAATATTTTTTTGTCAGTTGCTAAAATATTAATAGATGAGTTGATGGTTGTAAATTGTATAATTAAAGGTTAATCCAGCAACCTTTGATTATTAGTGTTGTTACAGTCAACTTTGGAAACTGCTGATTCCATGGCTAATGAAACTTTAGGTATAAAATTAGATAACCATTTTAGATTCATTGTTTCTCTACTATTTTGTTTTGTCAATGAATAACATGAAAATATTAACTAACAAAATTATAATTGAAGTTCTCAGCACGTACAACGTGATGTGAATAATTTCAATTTTGAACAAAGACAGGGGAAAAAAGATGGAAGAAGGAAAAGAAATTATTACGATAATAATAACTATGATAATAACCATAGGAATAGCTGTTGAGCAAAGTATAAAGGCCATTGTAATAAAATAACGGTAACAAAGGTTAAGACCCGTTAGACTATTTTTAATGTGACCTCTTTCGACTCCTCGTAAGGAACTCATAACATCTTCTTTGACTTGGTTTTTTTCCTTCTTGCTTCTTCTTCCTTATTCACCTTTGGCCTCAATATTTTCCAGTGTAGACATCATATGGTAAGGGGGTAACCAGGTGACCGGTTAACTGTAAACTTTTTATCTCTTTTTTTTGTGTACCAACAATTGATTCCAGTTGATGTAGCCAAATAATCATCATCAGCATAATAAAGGTAATAATATTAAAGTTATCATTTCTGGTAACATAAGGGACGTCTCAGAGTAGGTTATGAAAAGAGGCAATCTTTTTAATCTATCAGCAACAAAAGAAAGGCCAAAAGTTTAAGCCAATAACTCAGGTAAAAGGTCAGGATGGTCTAGAGTATGAAAAATAGGTTAAAAATGATAAAACAAAGCAAAAAAAGGTTAAACATTTGAAGATATACAAAATGAGAAAATCTTCCCAAAGCATTGTCAACCTTACCTTGAATATTAATGAAGAGATTGTTTGTCAGTTGATTGTTGATTCTAGGTTGATTTTACGATGATTACTGGTTAATTGTTTAACTAACCAAGACATGATGAAGCACATAATAAAAAAAGCACGAAAAAAAGCGTGGCAAAAGATAACAAACTTGAAGCAGAAGATATAAAGATGAAGAAGTAGGAAAAAGGCTTGAACCAGACGAGATGAATAAAGCTTGTTAGTGAAACATTTAAAATTGATTATAGTGACATAATTGCTGGAACTTGAACATGCTAATCGTAATGTACAGTAAATCAGTTAAAGTATAGTTCAAGTTAATTGATTAAAAACATGATGACAACACAATTAATGAACACTTGAACATGCTGTTATATTGAATGATTCACAAGGGTAACCCTTCCACAACTGTAGTTACCTACACCGGCCCTGTTTATTTAAAATGGCTCTGTGGCCCAACGGATAAGGCGTCTGACTTCGGATCAGAAGATTGCAGGTTCGAATCCTGCCAGAGTCGATATCTTTTTGATTTTATCAACATTCATTATAATTTCAACTTCTTAACTCAAATCCATTTCAATCTTTTCCAATACAGTTACACCAAACATTGATTGTTGATTCTTCCCATTAGATATTTTCAAGACTCTTAATCATCTGATTCAGTCTATCGTTTAGTTTGTTGCATTTGTTACTTTTTTATGTTAACATTAATGTTTTGGTTTTTCATTCGCGTTTCCTTTTTTTGCCTTTTCTGACCTTTCTTTGGTCATTTTTTATGCTGCTAACAATTTTCATTATTAATATTTTAGTAGACTAAATATCATATGTCTACTGATTGTTTATTATCGAGATGACCGATTTGATTAGGCCTTTGAAAAGGTGATTTACTGAGGAAGAGCTAATAATATTTTGTAGCAAACCTTGAATTATTACGATCAGCATCACGAATTGATTTTAGATACAAATTTACACTTTCAAAGTGATAATCACAGAGATCATCATCTGTTTAATCCAATTTCACCAATTAATCAAAAATTCAAATTGTACTGAAACATGTTTCCCTTTATAAGCCTATTATTATCACATATATCAGGATAATTTTGATCTGTCAATTTTTTCAATTTCATTTTTGCTTTCATATTACAGCAAACGAGAAACAATGAATTGTAATTAGCTCTGAATCTTTTTAAGGTAAACATCGTTGACCAAGTTTGACCCTCCAACTTGGTAAACAATCTTAGCAAATAGATGACAAATGGTGACAATCAAAAGCCAATAATAGTAACCTTCAGGCCTTCATTGGGTTAACCTTTGGCCAAGCTATAAACCTAAATTGAATTGAAATTTTTGGGTTAAAAACTCGGAGAAGCAAAAAGTATGCTTAAAGAGTTGAAGAGGAAAAGTAATTAACATTTAAAACAAATGAACTATTGATTGTTTACATATGACTGTAAGCAATAAAAAAAATTAGTTTTCACATCAGTTTCATTGTAATTTGTGTCTAACTTGAAGTAACCCTTCAATGTTAAACAAAGTTGATTCCAGCAAATAAATAACCAATAATTTGAGTTAAAATGTTTCAAATGATGAAACAATTTAAAGTTAAATTGAAACTGCAAAATAAGTTGAAAATATAAGGCCAAAAATGGACTGAAAATGAGCTGAAAAGCATCTTGAAAAGTAACATTTAAAACTCAATTGTTGGTCAAGCAAATAAATATACAAAAAGTGGCAATTTTTGCCCTTAAAAATCAACGAAAAAAAAAGATTCTTTTTGTAGCAATTGAATGTTGATTCCATTTGACTTAATTAGATCAAGTTCACCTCAAATCAATTGATAAATTGACAGAAAGTTAAATTCAAATTGTTCAATAATTTAGTGATGAAAAGGATGGCGAATCTTCAACTTGACCATTTTCAAGAGTAAACATGATTCTGTGTAGGAGTTAATATCTACCTTAATATGAAAGTGCCAATTGAGAAGCAACAAAATACTTCACAATCAGTCAATCATCATTACAATCAACTTGATCATCATCAAAATCAAATATCATTTTAAATGATTGGTAACAAAAAATATTGAACAAAATAACAATTGAAGTTGGAAGAGAGCAGCAAAAATGTTGACTTTAGTAAACATTTTGTTTTTCAATAATATTTACCTTAAAATTATTTCTGTTTCAAGTGTCCACTAAATTGTTACTTTCACTTCAATTAATTAACATTGATTGTTAATCAGCTTGGTACGTGTTTCCCTCTCTACTTTAATTATCGTGTTTACTCATTAAAAGTAAAATAAGCGAGACTATTAACCTTGTTGTGTCCATTTCACCTGAAAAGGTTATCATCTTCATAATGAGAATCACTTTTACCTTTTATTTGTATTCATTTCAATTTTTTCGCCTTTCGTATTTTTTTGCTCATTTTTTACCTCATCTCTGGCTCATTATAATCCATTGTCAAGGCAGATGATTTGCGTTAATTTGATTGCTAGTCCCTCATCACTAGTTTCAAACATCAACATCATCTTGAAGATGAAAATCAGAAATTAATTGAAAGCAGACTTTCAATGGATAAGGAAGAGCCAAATGTTAAAGGTAAAAACAAACTGGCGTCTCACTTTCACTTATCATTATTCATCTTTATTCATCTCTATCAAAATGATACTTTCAATGAAATTTTGGATGTTAGTCAAACGAATTGACAAAATAGAAATGCAAAAAACAGACAAAATTGTTGTTAATATTCATAACATCGGTTGAAAGCAATCCATTGAAAGGTCAACTTGTAACCTCTTTGCAAAGATTCAATTGCAAGTCAAAACAAAATTGTCTCATTGAATCTCAAGTAATAATGAGTATTTTTTGTGGTTTTTTTGTTGTTGTCTTCACGATCAAAGTGATTATCATTTGGATTGTGAAGATAAAGTCTTCATCTTTCTTGTTTATTGCAAAGTAGCCTTGAAAAAGTGTGTAATATGAATGACTTTGTTTTGGGTTTGTAAGGAAATATGGATGAGAGAAGATGGAAAGATGAAGAAATTAAGAAATGTATCTTGGCGAAAGATGATGATGGTGATGATGAATGTGAAGATGGAGAAGAAAGGATCATTTCATGTTAAGATGAAGCCATTGGGGTGTGTTGGGATGAAGAGAAGAAAGAGGAAAACAATGAAGACAGGAAGAGAAGGTAAAGAAATGTAATGTAAGAAAAGTAGGTAAAAAAGAAGATCTTTCTTTCCTTTCTGTTTTTTCTCTCTCTCCTCATCATCATCATCATCTCTGTGTGTCTTGTGCTGTGCATCTGCTTCGACCATTGGGTGAGTGTCTTAAGAAAAGGCATCAATCGACTTGACTCGTTTTCGCCTTGCGTCTTCGTCTTCTTGGTCTTCTTCGCTCTTCTCTTGCCTTTCCTCTGCCATCTTCCATCTTCTTTCTTTCTGCCTTTCTTTACTTATGTGTTTGAGCACATGTTCATAGTACATCTTGCTTAGCAGATGTAAGCTGAGTTTGTTTTAACCATTTTCATTCACAAACTTTTCCCTTTTTTTTCTTCCTCCGGACCTTTAAACTTTCTTACCTTTTTCTTACCTTTGACCAGAAGAAAGGGCAGAAGAAAAGTTTAAATGTCTTTTACTTCGTCCTTTAACTGACCCTTTTTGTACAGTTTTTTGAAACATTTGTTTAGTCTGTTTAAACTTTGCAAACTTGTCCAACTCATGGTGAAGCCGACGACAGCTGAGATGTGAACAAATCTGAAATGAATCGCTGGTTGCAATGTTTTTTCAGCCAATTTTCATTTTCTTTAAACATTCAATTTTTTGTACATTTAATTGCAAATTACAAGGCACACTTCAGAAGCCATTTTCAGATGAAAGTAATTTTATGGCGAAAACAAAAATCCTTCAAGTATTACAGTAAACCTGCAATTTGCTTTAGCATTACGATCTTAGCATTTTACGAAAAGTTTGCAGACCCAATATTCAATAAACGATAATAATGATGATTTTAATTGTAAAGATGTTCAATGGACCATTGGTTAGCGTAAATAATACCAATAACAGTTAATTGTCTTCAGAGGAAAGAGTGACAATCAATCTTTGAGCGAGCCAAATATCATCAACATAAATATTGTCTAAACTTATTGAACTTGAAGAAACCGGAAGATTTGGAGAGATGATGACAATTAGTTGCAAGCTTTCCTATCCAATTGGGCGATTATAATTATAAAGTGTAACTTCCTTGAAAGGTGAAAGTTTTTAAAAGGTAAAAGGTAAAAGAAGGTATAAAAAGATGAAAGTGAGAATAACTTTCACTTTATCTTCACCAAGGATAACATTTTACTTGCAGCTTGATTTACCTTTAATAATTACAATGACAATGGTTTAATAGTTATTGTGATAACGGGAATTGGCCTCAAATGGTCCCAAAATAGTATGGATATTGAGTTTAGGTTTCACTTTTACTTGTGAGTTGACCTTTTCTTCCGGGAAAGGAGAAGAAGGTGAAGAATTGATTGTCTCTTTCAATCTCACTTTTCATCTTTCCATTCACTTTCATCTTCCTCTAACCATATTCAATGCCTTTTCACCATCTCGTATTGACACGTGAAAAGAGGACGTGTGTCCGTCTGTTAGTGTTTAGAGACACGCGTTACCTAGACTTGCGCCAGGTAAGGCCTTTGATAGTGAAAGTATGATGAAGATGGCGAAGATAAAAGGTGGCCAAAAAGCAGGAAAAGAGATTGTTATTTGTTTCCCTTTTCTTCCTAATAATAGCGATATTAAGAATAATAAAAATCTCTTTTCAGAACAGAAGTCTTCTTTATCTTCACTTTCTCTTCTTTTACTTTCTCCTAACACTTGGATCTTCGTTATTCAAATGGCCACGATGTTTAAGATGCTTTGGACTTTCACTAATTGTAAGGGTCAATTCATTGCTTGTTTTAACTTTCCTTTTAACCGGATCTTAATCACAATTTTGCACTTCCTTTGGATATTATTATTATTATTGCTCATTTGATTTGTCGCTGCTACAAGGCAAATGATGATAATGAGTGAAAATTGTAAGTATCCAAATGAGTGAATCAGTTAATTGGCTATTTAATTCAGTGGTCCATTGATTTTGTCCACGTATTAGTAAGCTGTGACCACTAAATAACAATCAAATCATCCTTTAAATAGTTAGTTTTGGGTAAACAACTCTTTAACGATCAGGAAATAACAATTTAACAATTCCAAGGGTACAAATGTATTGCAATTGTGAGTTAAATCCAATTTGAGTCCATTTAACCAGTTAAAGTCAATCTGGTTACAAATCCGATTACAAATTCAGGTTCAAGAAAAGTTTATTTTTTCTCAGAAAATCAATTAGCTTCATTAAGTAAACTTTACATGCAGTGAAAATTAAATTGTAAATACAATTGTAAATAAACAGTTCGGGTTAAGCAATTATTTAGATTAAACACCTATTTTGATATTGAAAGTAAATGTTGATGAAAATTTCCGAATCGTTGTCGACTCGTGATCGGCTATCACTGTCCTTTGTGACGTGACGAAAATGGACTGAAAATGAGCTGAAAAGCATCTTGAAAAGTAACATCAATTGTTGGTCAAGCAAATAAATATACAAAAAAGTAGCAATTTTTGTTCTTAAAAATAAGCAAAAAAAACACTTCTAAATCAATTTCTCAATACTGTAAGGTTCACCGATTAATAGCTTTTCATTGTTGAGGTTTGACTATTGGAGGAGGAAAACTTATTATTTAAATAGACATCACTCAGCAATTGGTGGGCTTTTCAGACAAATTAAAACGCTTCATTACAAGTTTTATGGTATTTTTTGCTGTCAGGCTTTACTTGTTGCTCTAGCATATTGAATCAGCTGAAGAGTGTTTTAGCTTTTGCATGTTGATTGCATTTGACTTAATTAGATCAAGTTCACCTCAAATCAATTGATAAATTGACAGAAAGTTAAATTGAAATTGTTCAATAATCTAGTGATGAAAAGGATGGCGAATCTTCAACTTGACCATTTTCAAGAGTAAACATGATTCTGTGTAGGAGTTAATATCTACCTTAATATGAAAGTGCCAATTGAGAAGCAACAAAATGCTTCCCAATCAGTCAATCATCATTACAATCAACTTGATCATCATCAAAATCAAATATCATTTAAAATGATTGGTAACAAAAAATAACAATTGAAGTTGGAAGAGAGCAGTAAAAATGTTGACTTTAGTAAACATTTTGTTTTTCAATAATATTTACCTTAAAATTTTTACTCTCAGGCAAAGATTATTAGGTATTAGGGTGTCAAATAATTTTTGCGGTTGGATATGAAGTTAAGCTTAGAGTCGACTAAAATTTCTGTAAATTAAATTTCCTTCGGTATTAATATAACGTTTCAATTTTTCACATAGAGCAATTGATGCCGTTCTTGTGATGGTTTGAAAATTTATGGTGAAAAAATCGACAAAAGTGATTTTGACGCTTGTTTCTGAGTAGTTCTCTTCTTGGAATCAATTTTCCAAAAATTAAGATAGATTAGAGTCCATAGAGATTAAATCAGGTACTTAGGATGGATTCGCAAGTATTCAGAATCTGAAGTTGGAAATTTTGTGACGCGCCGCTAGAAAAGTTGATGAAAAAAGTTGATGAAAAAAGTTGGTGAAAAAAGTTGGTGAAAAAAAAACTTTTTGCTCGATTTTGTTTCCCTTCAAAATTTGTAAAAATGCAATAATTATGTGAATGTTTCTGACAAACCAAGGCCAAGTAATGTTTTAGCCAAAAAAGATCACAATCAAATCATAGCGAACCGCAAAATTTACGACACCCTAATATAAGATACTGCAGGAACCGAGGGACAGATGTTAGTAAGGGACAAGTCAATCTGGTAACAAACTTTCGAATACAAATTCAGGTTCAAGTTTATTTTTTTATCCATTTACAATTTACATTTGTTAGTGAACACCAAATTGTAACTATTTCAATCTGCTAAATATTCAGACTAAATCTTGATTGTTGGTGAATTTACAGTTTAAAATATTTGGTTGCAATCACTTACAATTTGTTAGAATCTAAAACAAGACAATCATTTGGTCTAGTCAATGACCATCAGAAAAGTCAAATTGAAATTCAATTCCCAAATGGATTGATTGTCATCTATCAGGTAATCAATATAAACAATGTGTGTTTGAGGTTAAATCAGTTTTTTGATTAGAAACCAGTTTCCGTGTATAACAGAAGATAGAGTTAAGAATTTAAAAAATTTGTCAAAATCAGTTTCCGTAGGTGAAAGTTTTCAAGATAACGATTAAAGGAATGCTCGATATTTAAAGAAAAGTTGATTTAAATATTGACTAAGGTTGAATAATATGGATTGAAATGCTCTAATCATGCTGATTAAAATTTAAAGGAAGTGGCATAAATACATATTTGAGGTACAATTTATTCAACTAATCAATCAAATCACCAATCAACCTTGAATTAAATTAGCTTCATCTGTGATTATTTCCGATAAAGAGACAACCAGTGTACCAAGCGATTATCAAAAGTGTTTGATATAACAAACGACATATTGTGACAATTGACAACAATTGTAAGACAATCAATTGGATAATGTTGGTAAAAAATTGAGTGATCGGTTCCTATTTTTGACTATCTTTCAAATTGAACAAATCAATGAAAGTTGAAAAATTAGAAGAAACAATTGACTTTAAATTAGATAACAAGATGCTCCAAATGGTCGCTTCACAGCTCCATTTGCGTTAATATTAATTACAGGTATCGAAAGGTGATTCAAAGTTAAAGGTCATCTTGATCAATGGTTGTACCTAAGGAACAGAAGGATCCATTGAAGGAACTAGGAAGCTGCAAGTAAAAGAGGAAATTTAACTTGAGTATAATATTAATAATAATGATGATGATAATCGTGGCCAATGGAGGCCTTAAAGTAGAGTGTGTTTGTATGATGATGGAAAGTGAGAGTAGCCCACATAAAATTGAGGTAAAATAGGAAGATGAGGAGAAGAGGAAGAAAAAGGTTGAGCTTTTTTTGTGCTTAATCTTAGTTACATTCAGTGATTTCTTTCTCCCTTTTCTTATAAGATGTTGTTGTTGTTGTTGCCTTATGTCCCATGTTTAGACGCGTGCCGCGTGTTCACCACGTACGACTCTAAAGATCCAGGCAGGTTTTATCATCATCATCATTCAACAGCTGGTTTAAGCTGTGTAAAAGTGCATGTGTGTTGTATGTCTATGCCTGTGTCTGTGTTTTAAAGCTGCTTTTTCAAGTTTAAATGTGAGTGAGTAAGGAAACTAAAAGATGTAAATGAAGAAAGAGAAAAAAGTAAGACATTTAGAAAAGAAAGCAAAAAAGAGACTGAGGAAGACAGATGCTGCTATGATTGAATTTATCACAACAAACGCAAACGGATACACCTTCATCTGTTATTTTTTTGTTGATATGTCTAATAAGTATCAACGGATGTAAGGTTAACATCCGTCTGTGGATTTGGTGATCTACTTTAATTCAGATAACTTATCTAACATCCGAAAAAAGCACAAATCAATTTCTCAAGTTAGGTGCTTCAAAAATCAGATTCATTATATTTAAACGAACTTAAAGGGTCAAACTTGGTCAACGATGTTTACCTTAAAAAGATTCAGAGCTAATTTCAATTCATTGTTTCTCGTTTGCTGTAATATGAAAGCAAAATGAAAATTGAAAAAATTGACAGATCAAAATTATCCTGATATATGTGATAATAATAGGCTTATAAAGGGCAACATGTTTCAGTACAATTTGAATGTTTGATTAATTGGTGAAATTGGATTAACAGATGATGATCATCTCTGTGATTATCACTTGAAAGTGTAAATTTGTATCTAAAATCAATTCGTGATGCTGATCTCAATAATTCAAGGTTTGCTACAAAATATTATTAGCTCTTCCTCAGTAAATCACCTTTTCAAAGGCCTAATCAAATCGGTCATCATGATAATAAACAATCAGCAGACATATGATATTTAGTCTACTAAATTATTAATAATGAAACCGTTAGCAGCATAAAAAATGACCAAAGGAAGGTCAGAAAAGGCAAAAAAAGGAAACGCGAATGAAAAAGCAAAACATTAATGTTAACATAAAAATTAGCAAAAAATACAACAAACTAAACGATAGACTGAATCAGATGATTAAGAGTCTTGAAAATATCTAATGGGAAGAATGAACAATCAATGTTTGGTGTAACTGTATTGGAAAAGATTGAAATGGATTTGAGTTAAGAAGTTAAAATTATAATGAATGTTACAGAATCTCACCAGATAATGAGAATCTTTTTTTCAACTTGTAGAAATGAATCTCAAAGAAAGAGAAAAGTAAGGGAAAAAGAAAGGCAAAATTGGGAAACAAAGAGAAAAGCTTAAATAAAAAGTAAGAGAAAAAGAAAGAGAGTGATGTGAGTGCCACCATCGGAGGTTCCCCAAGCTTCTCCATAGGAAATCTCTCTCTTTCTTAGTCTCTTTCTTACTCTTTGAGCATAAGGTAAAGCAGAAAAGTAAGATGTTGCGCATGACACAACTGCTTGTTCGGTCTTCTCATCGTCTTGGTTATCAAGTTTAACTTAGTTTGCTTTTTCTCGTCAACAAACTCTCGTCAACTTTTTTCCTCTTTTTTTCTTTCTCTTCTCTTTTTTCCTTACCTTAACACTACTTTTTTGTCAAAGTATAACTTATATAAATATTATATTATTTTTGCGGCTTTGGATTTTTGCCCCCAATTTTTTTGTGTGTTCAGTAAATTAACAATGTTTCATTTGATATCAAAAGTTTTTCTGTTTATCATATTTTTCCAAAGGATCAGTGCCGATGGGATTTTTGAAATAAGTTTGACTTTATCCAATGTGATCGAAAAGGACGCAGAGGGTAATTGCTGTGATAATAAACCTTCATTATCACCATTATTATCATCGTTAACATCTTCGCCATCATCTTCTTCACCATCTTCCTCACCTTTATCATCAATTCCATCATCTTCAGTGTCACCTTCACCATTAACATCGACATTCACATCCATGTATAATAATAATAATAATATTCAAATTAATAATAATAATCAAACCAGAGGAATCCGTCCGACTCCTAAATGTAGAGTAAAGTGTAACACATCGTTCAAAATTTGTCTTCGACATTATGAAAGAACAGTTGCTTATAATGGAGACTGTTCTTATGGCGAAGTTATTGTCGCACCGAATGAGTATTCGAAAATTCACCAAATTAAGTTCAATTTCACCTGGATGCGTGATTTTTCACTTATCCTAGAAGCTTTCCATACATCTGGCTCAGGTAAGCATCGTTCTTGTGTAATCTTGTTTTACTCTATCTCTTTCCATTTCCTTTACATTAAAACAATGTGCTTTTGCTTACTGAGATTTCTTTACTTATTAACTCTTGCATTCATCTTGTGATTAAATTGATAATTAGATTGATTGCAAATCACTTCAGATTCCAACCTTTTCTACCCTTAATTGATTTAAAAAATTTATCTAACTCTAACTGTGTCTTGTGACGAATATACCGTTTTCTATCTCTTCATATCTTCTCTTTACTCTTAACATTCTTTATCTATTTGTTCATTTCTGTATCTAATCTTATTTTACCTTTTTTTACTTTTTTTAGGACGCTATGCCACTAAGAAACGTCTTCTGCTGCATTCATTCCAAGAAGCTATCGAGGTATCTCCTGATTGGAAAGAAGAAACTATTCGTACTAATCAGACTACCATAACTGCTAAAATCCGCGTTCTTTGTGATCGTTACTATTATGGTAAAGACTGCTCTCAAAAATGTAGTCCTCGTAATGACAGATATGGACATTACGAATGTGACGAAAAGGGTAAAAAATGTTTATCTGGATGGAAAGGTGATTATTGTGATATACCCATCTGTGCTGAAGGCTGTCGCAATGGAACTTGTAAAACTCCAGGAAAATGTGATTGTTCAGAAGGTTATGAGGGCGCTCTTTGTGATAAATGTAGAGTCTACCCTGGTTGTCAACATGGTTCTTGTAAGAAACCATGGGAGTGCAACTGTGAAGATGGTTGGGGTGGTAGCTTTTGCGACAAAGATCTCAATTACTGTACTCGTCATCGTCCTTGTGTTAATGGATTATGTTTCAATACTGGACAAGGATCTTATACCTGTGAATGTGTCTTGGGATTTACCGGTGTAAACTGTGATATCCCAGTGTCTGACTGTTCAACCGCACCATGTCGTAATGGAGGTACTTGCTCCCAATCACCTCCTGGTTCTAATTACACATGTGACTGTCCATTAGGTTTTACAGGATTAAATTGTGAAAAGCCTATCTCTGCCTCATGTAATTTAAAACCATGTGAAAATGGTGGTACCTGTTCCAATGGACCTTCAGGATACCTGTGTATTTGTCCTCCTGGCTACTCAGGAGTTAACTGTGAAAACAGACTAAATCATTGTGACCAGTCGCCATGTTTAAATGGTGCAACTTGTCAACCTTCAAGATTCTCATCTTCATCATACATATGTAACTGTCGTGCTGGATTTAATGGCACCCATTGTGAAAACAATATAGATGACTGTGTCTCTGATTCTTTGTGTTTCAATGGAGGCACTTGTATTGACGGTGATAACTCCTATACCTGCCTATGTAATGCCGGTTTTACTGGACCTAATTGTCAGTCAGTCATTCGATCATCAGACTATTGTTCCAGCAATCCATGTTCAAATGGAGGTCAGTGTACTGATTTGGACAATGGTTTTTATTGTAAATGTTTACCCGGCTACGCGGGTACCGACTGTTCTATAAGAATCAGAGAAATTTCAGAGAAATTTTTAGAAGAAGATGGACCCGATCCATCTTTCGGAAATTATCTCTCTAAAAGTCAAACAGCCATGATCTCAGTAATTTTGTGTATAATACCTTTTGTTTTATTGTATATACTTTCATTGCGTCGTATTCGTGCTCAAGAACGCCAAAGATATGAAAACGAGGAGGCTATTCGGCAAAATGTGGAAAACAGTGCCAAAAAGTGCCTCCAAAATAATGTATTTACCAGGTCTTGATGCAATAAAACATGTACATAAATTACTGTAAATACCTGTACATAAAATCTTATATTATATATTTGAATAAAATGATAAAAAGAAAATGAAAATTTGATTACTCCATTTGAGTTATTTCAAAACTTATTTGATTTGTAAGTAGTCATTATAAACCTTTCATGGTTTCTTCCTGAGCAATCACAAAGATGATAATTACTTACATTTCATCAAATGTTGTACAATTATAATTGACTATTTTCTCAACAATTATTACAGAAAAATCCAAATGCGCGCTTTTTCCATGACTTTGAACTTGGAGTTCTATTGTATTAGTTGATGAAAATGTGTAGGTGAAAAATTTAAATTGATTTGATGAAGGAGGCAGAAAAAAATCTGTAAAGTAAATCAAATAAACTCAAAAGTAGCTCTAATTATTTCTGAAATAATTTGATTCAATAAGTATTATTACAACAAAAAAATTTCAACTCAAGATAAGTGTCATTCTCAGTGCAAAAACGTTCATCTTTTCAATTGAACAACAATAATATTGATGAAAAATTGAATCCATTCCATCAATCAGAGTGTTGTAAAATACTGACCAAATAAGTTTCAATTTATATAAATTTGAAGTGCATATTGATGTACCTTAATGTAAATTGATTGTATTGAGCAAGTTGATGAAAAAAAAGTGTGTAAGAGTGGAGGCCCAATCATCCGTTGAATAATATTTAATTTCAATGATGAGTAGCTTTCCAATCAAATTAACAGTTATAATGAGATTCTTTGGGCGTCCTGTAAAGTGGATGATGATGGTAATGTCTTTTTTCCTTTCGTTCGCACGTTGTTCAACTTGATACTCCTACGTTAAGCAAATCAGGTAAAATTTGAAAATTAACCATTTGAAAATTAAAGATCAGGTAAGAAGCAATCCTCATCTTATTCGTCCTCCCTCTTTCCCTTTCTTGGTAGCTTACTTATGACTTTAGTTTTTTCTCACAAATGTTTTTGTCAGCTAAACAGATGATCGTCTTGGTCCGATGAAGACTGCCTAAGTACAAAAAAAGGTAAAAAAGGGAGGTGAAGTGGTGCTGATATGGTAAGGAGAGAAGAAGCAAGCATAAGAAATAAGCAGAAGAAGCAGAAGAAGCAGATGAAGTGAGCATAAGATGAAGCAGAAGATGAAGAAGCAAAAGAAGGAGAAGGAGAAGAGAAGCAGAAGAGGCAGAAGAAGACGTAAGAACATAAACAGGAGAAACTCCGTGGGAATCTAGAGAAACTGACCTGCTGTTTCCTCCTGTTTAAAAGGACATGGCCGGAAATCGTTTGACGACCTGACCTCAATGTCTTAGCTCGCATCATTCACAAATAAGGGAGAAACATGGGGTCGAATACGGTCTTTTCTTAAAAAGCTAAGGAAGGAGAGAGGGAAAGATGGAGAAAGTGGAGATGTTATTATTAACGTAAGTAAACGACAGAAAGAAAAAAGCTGCGAAAAGATGAAATAAAGTAAAGATGAAAGAAATACACTTAATAGTGTTACAGGTTACCTGTTGATGGTTAAGATGAGTGTGATTGAGAGAACGAGAAGGTAAATCTATTGTCAGAAGGTCCATTCAACCTGTGTGGATCTAGAAACATTTTGTCGTAAAAAGAGGATGTATATCAAGTAAAATTTGGGAAACCCATAAGAAGAGCGGAGTTATATAATAAAGGTTAGGCCTCTCTTTATCATCAGCTTTTATCCTTCTTTTTTTACATTGCTGGGTGCCTTTTGTTTTTCCAATAACAAATTAGCTTATAAAGGAGACGCATTTTTCAGACTATAATAACGTATTATATACACTCTTTGATTGATTTCAACCTTACTCCATCTTCATCAGCTTCATCATTTTCCTCTTCACCTCACAATGCCGTGCCATCATATGGAATGACTTTCTTCTTTTCTCCTTGGGTTTTGATTACCAATCCAATCCTTGATGGTCACTTCTGGTATTGCTTTATGCCATATTTACTTAAGGTAGAACCTGGGAAGAAGACAAAAAAGATTATGAATATAATGAATGAGTGAAGGAAGGGAATAGATAAGGACAACGTTTCATCGTCTTAGGATGACCTGAAGTCTTTCCTTGGACTATCTATCGTTATTAAGATGAAAGGAAAAACAAACACATACAAAAAAACTGTGTAACAAGTATCAACAATAATGAGTTGCAGAAAAAAAGTTTCCATATCATTGTTCATGTTGATGTCTCTCAAGATTAAGACTGTTGAATTATTTCTCATGTTGATAAAGTTTAAGAAACCAAACAATAATCGGATAGAGAAAACACAATTTAAATAAATCGGCAATTAACTTAGCTTTAGTAAAAACACAAATTTAAAATAGTAAATGAAACACAAACATGAAAAGGTTGATTCTAGCGGGACTCTTTTCCAGTGTAACCAATCTTTATGTAAACTTGAATAGTCTATCAAATAAGGGGTAACCTTTGGTTACCAATTTTTCATTAGGTGTGGCTGCCAATTTGAATCAAAATCACTGTGAAATTAAATTTAAATCTTGATTTAACCAATTGATTTAAATCAGATTCCATTGGGTATTTTATAGAGTAAAACAGAGTAAATCAAAAGGTTAACATACAACGGGTTTTACTGATCTTTCATCTTTGACTAAACTTCAATTCTTCCAAGTTACTTGTTGACGGTGATTTTCACAATTTTAGTGACTGACAATTAACCCGTTTATATGGCTAAGTTATTAAGTTCATAATTGTTAAACATCTGACTTTAATTTAAACTAGTTGCTCTTTGGTTGGAATGAACGAATGAAGTTGCCTTTGTTCAGCTGATCAAACATTGAAAACCAAACATTGCCTTTAATTGGCCAATCCTCTTCGATTTCACACCTTTCTGTTTTATTTTTGTTCAGTAATTATCAGTGTTTGGCGATATTCATCTTCCTATAAACATGATGATACTATTTCCTTTCAGTAATTCAATAACCGTTGAAAACGCAAGACGAACTTTCATATTAACCGCTTTTTAGAAAAATTTTTCTCCGCCAAAAATATTTGAAATTATTTCACCAATTTTTGCCGATGATGTTGTGGACCACAACTTGTGGTCAAAGTTGTCAGATTGATTTGAGCTGTTATGATGAAACTGAATCTACTTTGAAACCAGAAAAGTCAGTTACTGTTAAAGTTGTAATTCATAATTATCATAATTATTTTGATTAAGAAACAATAGATGGTGCAGTAAGCAAACTATCGTCTGCAATCATCATCATCATTCAACTTCAACATGGTGAGAAAACTCAAGCAGAAGAAGAAATCTGATGAAACATCAGCTTAAATTTTCATCTCCATCATTATTTGAGTTGTGGAAGTGATCAGTGAGATCGTTGAAATGATAAAAATTGTGAATGGTGTTTAACAATTTGTGAAATCTCTTTCAAGCTTCCATTCCAGTTATCACCATCATCAGTAACCCTTTCTTTTGTGTTATCTAACCACTTATCTACTTCATCACTTCTTATCAACTCTTGCTTTTTGATGCTAACGAATTTTACTCTCTTTGTTGGTTTATCCGAAAACTTGCTTCTAATTCATTTGTTGCGTCTACCGTTCATCCCGTCCAAGCAAATTCACGTCAAACTAAGATGACATCTTCGAGAACCGGTGATTCCAATGAGCGCTCCAAAAATCTATGGGTTTTTGGTTATGGATCTTTGATTTGGAATCCTGGTTTTAGTTATGTTCGAAGTTCTGTTGGCTCTATTAAAGGATTCAAGAGACGTTTCTGGCAAGGAAATGATATTCACAGAGGTACCCCTGACAAGGTGAGGAGGATATGCTCATTGAATTTTCTAATTATATTTTCCTCTTCCTCGTCCCTTTACTTGCATATTGACATTGATTCTATTATTTAAACTAAATTTTCGTTCTGACAAATGATTTATCAACTGAATTTTTTTCATTCATTTTTGTTCATTGTTTCCAATTCATAGTTGGGTCGCGTGGTTACTCTCATCGCCGAAAAAGAGGTAAGCCGTATTCTGCATCAGCTTCAATCAGTTTGGGTTTAACCTAACTGGACTTAAACCCTTACTCGCTTAGTTTTGTTTAATTAAACAAAACTAAAATCGATTACAATTTCCATCATCAGTTAATAATATTGAATATGTATTTTTATCTGCTTAGGCAATTACCTGGGGACGGGCCTACCTGATTAAAGATGAATGTGCATGCCGTAGTTATCTGGATCAAAGAGAATGCCAAGAAGGTGGTTATGAGGCCAAAATGGTTGAATTTGTGCCTCGGGACAATGACGAGCTGATTTTATCATCATCATCACAATCTTTGTCTGCTTCATTCCAAGTGCTGGTTTACATTGCCTTACCTACCAATCGTTTCTTTCTTGGTCCAGCTCCAGAAATGACCATTGCTTGTGATATAGCGTTTGCTTCAGGTGAATGTGGACCCAATGTTGAATATTTAGCAAAATTGGTTGCTTTTATGAGATATCATTGGCCAGAAGTGTGGGACGATCATCTTTATGAACTAGAACGTTCAGTTAAAAAAATACTTGATAAACGGTTTCCGTGCAAGTTAAAATATTTTGACAATGCTATGAACGACGAAGCCAAATGTTTATTACAAACCCTTGAAAGACTCAAATTATTGGAATTTGATTTTAATTGGAGAACTGAGAAGGAAATTAAATCTCTTGAATCAAGACTCAATTTCATCGAATTACCGAGAGATTTAGTTGCATCCTCCAAAGGAGTCCGAATTAATATATGACAATTAACAAATTAATATTCTTTGATAGATAAAATTTACCATTTTACAATTTATCAATAGCCATTTATCAATTTAAATGAATGAAAATATAACAAGACAACAAATCAACAAACAAAACACAATTGAAATTTTAAGGGGAACAAAAAAATCAAATTATACGCAGCTATTTATTATTGACAAATGTTTTGTTATCATACTCTTTATAATTGTTATTGATGATGATATGTTTCTTTTTCTGTATCATCAAGCAATCATCGACAGAGAAAAACAAATTATATTCATAATTCTTCTACGAGCAGCTCATTAATAATCAAAATTCATTCCAGCTCAGGGCTGTTCATTATCAATAAAAATATCTTCTTGCTTTCAAGCATATCTTTGAAAAGCAAAAGTTTCTCATCAAAATAAAGAAATCAATAACTCTTTATTGTAACAACCTGAATGATACCTTTAATTGTTTTCCCTTAAACTGCTGTCTTGTGAAAATTATTTTGGTTAAGTAGTTTTTCATTGATTAAACAAAAATAAATGACAAATTCAAATTGATCTCAAATTATTGAACATTTATGGGTACAAACTGTTTACAACAAATACCGACCAAAAATGAAATAACTTTGTAAGGATCACAATTACTGGCAGGCCTTCGATCCTCAAAATAATATGTGATCTCACCACTCACCTCTGGACTTTTGTGTAAACGGATTGAAGCACCTCGATCATCAATACTAAACTTAAATTGATCAATTTTACATGTTTCATGTTTACCAGTTAATCGTCGAGCATTATCTTTACCTTGATTAGGGTCATAAATAGCAATCGCTTCCTTATGTTTCTCTTCCAACTCCTTAATCATACTTAGCACTCTTCCGTAACCACCTTCACCTTTAGTAGCACTGGTTGAAACATTGATATGAGCACCAGTTCCATTCCAATCACCTTCAACAGGCTTTGGATCAAATGAAACTTTAACACCAAACTCTTCTGCCATTCGGACCAAAATAAATCTCGCCATCCACAAATCATCTCCCATGTTTATACCTTCACATTCACCAACTTGAAATTCCCATTGACCAGGCATAACTTCAGCGTTATAACCATAAATAGGTATACCAGCAGCGAGACAGGCACGATAATGTGCTTCAGCTATATCACGGCCAATTGCTAGGCCAGTTCCAACACCACAATAGTATGGTCCTTGTGGAGCAGGAAAACCATCTTCAGGCCAACCCAAAGGTCTGTTAGTTTTTGGATCAATCAGAGTGTATTCTTGTTCAATGCCAAACTTCGGTGCATAGTTATCGTTGCAAATATTTACAGCTTTTGTTGGCGAATCCTCAGTTTTAGTATCTTTAGGCTTCACCTTTTCCAAAACATCAAAACACTCTTTTCGATTATTAGTTTTTACTGGTTTACCATTGTAATAAACTTCACAAAGGACCAACCTAGCATGTTGTCCGTGAAATGGATCCCAATACAATGCACAAGGGCGCAACACGCAACTGGAATCAGTTCTTTTCTCACCATTTTCTGTAATTTCTTCAGTTTCAAAACCTAAAATTCAAAAAGGTTTACATTTTAAAATTAAAGAAATCGCATTTCCAATAAGCATCAAAATCATTGGTAAACTAAAAGATAGACACTTGAAACGATTAATTAAACAAACTAAATTAAAACTTACCAGTTCCAGTGGCACAGAAACTCCATTCTGGACATGTCTCTAGAATAACTTGACCGTTGTTGCATTTTATTGTTCTGGTTTTGGATCTGAGTGATTGTCCAGTACCGTCAATCCAAACATATGTTAATGGAACATTTTCTGGTTCTTCTTTCTTATTGATCGAAAGATCCATAAACCTTTTGGCAACATTTTGGTTAAACTTATAAGTTACCATTTTACTCTCAGACTATGATGAACTTTCTTTGTAAAACAATTGACTGTACAATGTCCAGAAAATGGGATTAGATGAAGTTTATATACAAACTTTCACACTCATTGTCGACTCATTGTTTTTAATTGAATAAAAACTGCTAACTCTCCTTTACTCATAAATTATTTATCATCAATTCGACTTAATTTTTGCCCCGAATGGAGTCCGACCGGATGAATTAATTTGATTAATCAGACGCTTTCCAAATTCACAGACTGATTGTTTATGTGCAAGTTCATTGACACTTGTTTAAAAATTTAGTTTTCATAGTTGTGGTTAATTTTTCATCCTTCTTGATTAACTAACCCCCAAAATTCACTTGCAGCTCTAACTGTTTGAAATACATTGTTAATCAACCCGATTGTCTAAGCATAATATTAAAAATTTCATTGACCTGAATTTGGTGAGTAAAAGATTTGGTTTCTTCCTCTTCTTTCTTCAATCTTATAAAACCGAGTCAAAGGTTGTTCTGTATATTGATTGAAATAAATTACAATGTAACAATATTTTACAATTGTTACTATTTGAATAACAACTGATATTTATTTGATTCACAATTTCCATCTCTTTACAAGTGTACCTCAACCTTATTGGACAGAATGGCGATGCAAAGTGTAATTCTGAAAATGACAATTATTAAACTAATCAACAACGAGATTCTTGGGTGAATTGGCAGGCAACATGAAATGGCAGATATTTACTTTCACCTTGTAATATTAGTTTTTTTACGGATACAAATTATTTCAATTTGATTTCATTTGTATTGCGATCACTTTGTAATCAATAAATAGGACCCGCCAAAGGATACCAAATTTATGACCAGAAATGTACTAATATTTACACTTATGATGCGTGAATGGTCAAACCAGAAACTTGTAAGAAATGTAAATCAAAAGCAAAGCAGACAATTCAATATTATGAAATTATATTTTTCAGCTATTATTGTTATCGATGGTAATAATTTCATAAGTGTTGCAAATTATAGTCATTATGATTAGATGAGCAGCTTAAAATAAGTTTGCGTGATACTGATACAGTAGTCTTTCAATGTATCAAAGATATGCTAAAATAATGGCAACTATTGAAATCCATTTCAAGTATTATATGAAAAAGTAAAGGTTTTACCTTTTACTGCTGATTCAATTGACGGTTCATATTTTAGGAAGCTGGATAATTTAATTGACTAAACAAGTTAACCATTTAATAGTCAAAAATTGAAAGCTTGTGTTCATTTATTCACATAAAATTACCAACAAACTTCATACTGATCTGACTAAATATTTCAAGTAATATTATTTAATCAGAGTTGTGTGAGGCGTTTTGGTCATCTAAATAACCATAATAATTGTAATAGATCATTGTAAGAGTTACCATTTGTGGACCAATTGAGGAGATAAGGAAATCTTATTGTTATTATTTCTCCTTGAAAAGATTGAAATGTCGGGAAGATTCAAATTATTGGATTATGACTCGCTATCGATTGTTGTAAATTTTTAGCTAATTTTATCTCGATTATAATATTAGTTGAATAAGATCCGCCAAAGGAGTCCGTATTGTAACTATTGTACAATAATGAATTGTGTGTGCCAACAAAAGACAATTGACTTTCGCGAATAAACACAAATGAACCGGTTATATTGATTATTGTCATCTTCAGTAATAATGATAATAACCATCAAAAGTGGTTATTTTGATTACCTGGGCATTAGTAATCAAATTGGGTTATCATTTCAGATTTTTGACTCTTCACCAGACAGATGATGAAATTGAGCAGAAAATAATGATTTGAGAAATTCAAATTTTCCTTCGATTTAAAACTGAGTTTGACTCAACAGAGTTCATTTTTGGGACATTTCAGGGTTTCTTATTTGTTACATTTTCATTGCTTGCTTAGATATGCAAAAATTAATTGCAAAAAAAACATGAAAGAGGAAGTTTAAATTTTGGGTGTATTTTAAATGTTTTAAACCTTAAAAGAGTTTATTCATGATAGAATATAAAATTATTAAAACAATGGAAACAATAGAGTATAATCAGTGGATATACAATATTTACAATAAGTGTATTCAAATGGTGATGATATAAGGAGTTTTTGGTTTAAGTTTAAGATTTTGATGATGGTTCTTGAGTTGAAAAAGAGATCAAAGTATAGTTTAAGTTGATAAGTAGTTGAATAGAGTGGTTGGCTTTTTGATTGGAAAAAATTAATCTATTGTCAACTGGAAAAGGGAATCAATCAGAAACAACGAAACTTTTTCCTTGTTCAATGGAGTCATATTTCTCTTGGTTCGCATTGAATGCTTTTGATCTTTTTCCTAACGAATGCATAAATCGTTCACTTTCAGTTTTTAACTGAATTACAGTTGGATTACTTTGACAATTTATTTTTTTCCAAGGTTCCAATATAGATACATGTTTCAATCTCTTTCTCTTCCTGATCATGATGATTCAATCTTTGTTAAAAAGGATGATGAACCAACAGTCAACTGCATGATTTGGTAGTGTCTGGTGAGTGGAAATTAAAATAAGTTTACTCCAAGATGAACGCCTTTAATGGTGATGATGAAAAAAAGTGTGATTTCAGCTCCAACACAATTTGACTTTAATGTTTTATAGTTAAAAGATGGACTGAGTTTTCTCGTTAACCAAGGCGTAGTCTTGATTCTAATGAAAATATTGTCAAGTCAGTTGGTTTACTATTTGCCGCTTTTAATCCGTTAAACTTCACACAAAATGATAATCTAAAGCCGGAAAATGATTAACCATGATACTATGGTGTGAACTTGACAAATTTTCAAAACACTTCAATGACAATAAAGGGAATTCCAGAGTACATGACAGTTCATTCTTTGCTATCTTTGTAACTGAGTTGACTGATAATCATGATCTTCTCAGAATATTTTTTGTAAGAACCGTGAAATGGTGTAGATCAATTGTAGGAAGAGCGATGACAGACAGTTTGACACTGGATTTCTCACTGGTGACGTTGACAATAGTTCTCAGAAGAGAAGACAGATTTTAAAGAGAAAGTCTGTAAGAAGATTAGAATCCAAAAGCCAATCGTGTGAATATTTTTATTGCTGATCGTGAGATTTACTGACATCTTGAATAAATTTGATGATTTAAATGTATTTAAGTTTTAAAGTCTTAACATCTTTAAGAGTGAATTATCCTTTTTCGGCAATCTAATCCATTACGCGGATTGTTTTATTCCAAGTATTCAAGCTCCATATCCAGTCCATGACAATTAACTTTCTTTTAATTTTAATCAACATCACCAATTTTGAACCTGCTAAAATATAAAGAGCAAAAAGTTGATATTAAACAAATGAATCAAAAAATGAGAAGTTAAATATTAATTGCAGTTTTTAGATAAAAACTGAACCCTCAGAGTTAAGGATGAGAAGAAATTTTTCAACTCATTGCCCCCGTTTTCACTCACATCATCAACCTTAAGGTTGACAAACATTGAGATGGGAACTCTGTATTAGCATGGCACGACTCATCATCGGGTTTTATTTTATCCAAACGAAATATTAAGATAAAAAATTGTGAAAAAGCAATAATACCTTCGCAATCAATCAAACAGAAGTCTTACTTTCCCATCAATTACCAATAAGAGTCATTCAACAGCAGATAAATGGTAAAACTATGATATGGTAAAAAAGAGAAAGAAAAAGTGCAAAATAGAATGAGTTAAAGTTGATAAAAGTTGAAGAATAACAAAGCAAAATGTGAGAATATTGGGTTAAATGTTTCATAAAAAATACATAATACTTCAGTCGAGCTTAAATAATAATGATAATAATAGCTAATTGGCTAGCAGAAGAGTAAAATGAGGGAGAGAAAAGGTGAATAGAAAAAATGGAACAGTTTCCACTGAATGAATATGTCAAAACAAGTCCGGCCCTGAATACATTTACGTGCCCAGGCCAACTTTCATTGAATATTAACGATAAAGAGAAAAAAAAGTTTGCCACAAAAGTCTTAAAAAACCGGTTTAGAAGTGAACATAAGATGAAGGAGAAGCGTCTTACGAGTAAACGGAACTCGTGTGAGAACATGCGACTTTTAGTGACATATGGGATAATAAACTGGACACTATTTTCGGTTTATGGTTTATTTATAGTAGCCTGGCTGGGTCTGGTAACCGTTGTAATCTTTTTAAGAAAATCATTCAATATCTTGGGTTTTCTTCATCTTTTTTTTTGTCCCGATCCAGTCTTATCAATATCACCTCCTTGAGAAGCTTGAATGATTGACACTTGAGAAAAAAATTGTCACCGTCTTTTTTTGGTCAAGTTAGACTTCAAAGGTTTCTTCTTGCATGGGAAAATTATTGATATACTTCTGGTTACCGTCATTATAAAAGTATCTATTTTACTGAAAGATTGAAGAACGGAAAACAATTTAATTGATCTACCGTATGAGCAGAAATATAACTTTTTACATGTTAGAATTACCTAAAACAAAAGAAATTAACAAAAGATCAAATTAGTAATACGAGCCCCTACCAATGGACCTATACCAGCAGTTACTATAAGAACAATTGACGCACCTCAATCAAATTCAAACACTAAAGGACAAATTTTCCCCGTCAGCGCAATGATCGAAGCAAATAAAAATAATGGAATGCTTACGATGACACAAAATGATTCAAGTAAGGCAAATGAATGTCTAAGGGTCTATTTGAGTTTACTATTTAACCATAAAAACCAACCATGCTTTATTATTGATAAAATTTGTGAAAAATTAAATAAAATTTGTTAAAACTTACGACTTGATCTTTCATCTTAAGGCAACCATCAGCGTAAGCTAACTTGAGTGCTCCATACACGAGTTTTAGCACTCAATTAACGCTGGATTCAAAATGTTGAACCAACATTGTTTCATAATATTTTTGCATATTTTTGCAAAACATGCTTTAATCCTGGTTACGCGCGCAATTCAACCATATTCATTTCTTGCTTCAGGTTTTAGTCGGTTATGTCAAGGAAATCATTAAAATGTCGATCATAAATACTTTCTATGATGTAAAGAAATCAAGTTCGCATCCATCCAGATGAGAAGGTTGAAGAAAATTTGAAGATTTTATACAGTTTGAAATTAAATGGAATTTGAAACATCACATCAAAAAGACAGATTTTTAGTCAACAGGTAAAACGATTATTTCAAACTATTGCCATGAAAAAAGTTTCTTAACGCATCTCTGATATCATTTGTGCTCTGTTTTCCTTCAAGTTCGATCTCATGAATTCGTTGGGCAATGGTTGTTACAAGCTTTGGTTTCACCTCGGGAAGGAACTTAATGAAGATCATTAACAATCGGAAAAGTTTTATCATATTGGGACCAACCAAATTACGAGAGATGATTTCAGTAAGCTTTGGTTCGAAGTAATCAGAGATATGATTTGGTACATTTTTTATAACGATGACAATCAGTTTTTGAATAACAGTTTTAATACGAGTTTGACCACTATCATCACTCTTCAAAAACCTTTCAGTTAATTCTGCTAATAGTTGACAAACTTCTTTAGTCAATAGAGATTCACCACTTTCGAATAATAGATCACAAAATTTTTCACGCTGCTTGTTGTCAATTCGAGAAGAGCAGGTAAAAAGAAAAAAATTATTTCGGAATTCCGATGGATTGAGTTTGCCTGAATCTTTGAAATAACTCAAGAATGTTAGATTTGAAGCAACTTCGCATACATCAATTTGAATGATCGATCCTTTACCATATTGAGCTTTTACAAAGGGCAGAAAATTTTTCATGATATTGGCCAAAAAAATGCCAAACGAATGTTGGTTTGAAGCATCTAAAACCATCGGAAGATAAATGCGGACAGAATTAATTACACGAGTGACTGATGCGACCAGATTTAATAAATCACGATCGGCTAATTGACCAAACACTTTAACGATAGATTGAGGTATTAGTGCACATTTTCCAATCGATTCAACCTTGACTTCTGATACATAAATGATTTCCTGAAAATACAATAAAATAAGTTCGATGCATGACTCTCTCGATGATGTATTTGATTTATCTAATCTTGATAAAACCTCCGCCAGCCTATCGAAAATGTCTATGGCAATCAAAACGAGTTTGTTCATATCTTTTTCGTCTGATAAAAGAAGGGCAGCACAGATGGTTGACTGGATCATCAGCTTAACCTTTTTAGAATGGCTTGATTTAATTTTAATTGCTTTAGCGAGCTCAGCAAATTTATCAACGATGTCAACATAATGGTCATCCGAGGCATAGCAGCAAACAATAAGAATCGTTAATACTTTATAAAGTTGGCTTTCATTCAATTCCTCAACTGGATACTTTGAAAGAGTGGTGAAAAGATCGCTTTTAAGTTTTTGCCAAAGCTGAATATTTTGATAAGAATTTTTAGCGAATAATTTAAAAATTACTTTTTCAAGAAGAAGAAGTAATAAATCGAGAAGTTTGTCGTCCATCTCAGATGCTGAGCCTCTCTCGAAAAGTGTCCTAAGCTTGAGGGACCATTGATTACTAGATTTCGGTAAAGTATAATAAACACTAGATGAAGATTGAGATGAAGTCAACATTTTCATGTAATAGTCAACAAATGGTACGGGAATGTCGACACAAACACTACACCGTTTAACTGCATTGAAACAAAGCTGCATTGCGATTTCTAGTAATTCACTTTTGACAAAGCTGGATTCTTGGAAATCACGCAACACAGAAATTATTGCTTGCGTGAAACCAGTAGAATTGCAAGAATCTTGACTAGTTATGGAGTCTTTAGGAGCACCAATAAGCTCTAAAAGGTTGCTCATTAGCCATAAATTTGCAATGTTAAGGTTATCTAGTGAATTAAAGTTGCTGGGTACTCTTTTGTAAGTTATCAAACTATCTCGATCTTTACATTCTTTCCTATTTTCTTCAATGAAATTGTCTATTATCACATTAAAGTAGAACCAAAAAGGATGGATATTTAGAATTGCAGGATCTTTTTCCACAAGAATCTTGATAATGGTGAATAAGACACGGTGACAAGTGCAAACATATGGGTCTATTGTGGTCAACATCCGCATGTCTTTAGTAGATGAAAATTTTTGAAGCGATATGTATAGAAGATCAGCCAACAAGCATTCAAGAAATTTAATTCGTGAATCAGCTGGATCGTTTACTTCTCCTAGGATCTCAATTTTACCGCGCGTCTGCTGATTGTATTCACACAACAAATGAAACGAGATTAGCCAGACATCGAAACAAGCATGGAGGTATTGTCGCGAGGGCGATTGAATATCAGAAGATAATATATAAATGTTAGGATCGAAATCATCCAACATAGATATCCGTCCAGTGAATCTCACTAAGTTGGTCATCTCTCTGATGGAAATTTGCTGAAATGTTTCATTGCCTTGCTTGTTAATTTTGTAGACACACTTAAGAAAGTTAAAAATTTGCGAACGATAGTGAATCCATAAAGTCATGTTTGCGCTTGATCTTTTGGCCGTTATAGCAACTTTGAAGATATTGATGGCTTTTCTATAAGATAATAAAGAATTAGTAATGAAACAACGAAACTGTATAAACCGAAAGAAGTCAAACAAACTTACTTCACTAAATTAAAATAGTGGACCAAATCTTCTTCACACGTCGACTCATTGATAGTTATTTTTTGATCAAGAAGTTCAAGCCCTCCGGCAGAGTCACCATCACTCTCTTCGGCAAACCTAAATTATAAGAAAACCCATAATTAATTTGATATAGTAATGAATATGCAGAAAAAAACTCATACAGTTTAATCTTGTCTTCCGCCATTTTAAGAATAGAGGTGATCGATGGCGTTGTACTAATTGTATCAGAATCCATGACTAGTTTGTTCAGATGTACAATTAATTATCAAGATTAAATAACAATAAATGAATTACATTAAATCACAGGAAGAAATAACAGTTTGATTTCATAACATAGACAAAATAAACAAAAAACTTTATTTGAGCGCGTAAAGTTACAGTAAATTGGAGAATCAGCCAATCACAAAGCACTTTACAAACTCCATCTATTAGTGATTTAAGAAAGCTGTGATGCACATCAACTTTAAAACTCAAAACCTATGAGTTTTGAAGAATTGAAATATTCAATTGTTTTCAGGATTTCCAGACGAAATATAAAAATAATCAGAATTTAGCCTTTTCTGTTTATATCGAAGTCTATTATAGCTAGTTTATTTGCCATTGTTGATATTGATATCATTAAAGCACGTAAAGTCTTTTCGACTGTCGTTAAGATTATCAATTAATTTTGACAATTTTGATTGAAATAGATTTTTCTACTCAAATGCTGCAATAATTTAAATGAGAATAGCTTAGAAAATGGACGAAATGCAATTTCTTCACTTTCATTTAATCGAACATAATGAATTTAAAATTCCTCTCACTATTTGGTCACTTCAAGTCTCAATAAATCTGCAAATTGTCCATGATTATCATGATTTGGTTTGAGAAATTAAGAAAATTTCTGAGCCATGCTGTACTTGAATTCATATAAGATGATATCTTTGAGTTTGAATACACTTTACCCTTTAAGCATTTTATACGATTTCACTTTGACTAGATTAATTGATATTATCTTGGATGGCAATCCAATGCTGCGAAAATAAATTGGATAGAAAAATAGTGAAATGATAATGTACAATATTAATATTTTGAATAAACTGAGTAATCAATGAAAATGGATTTATTTATAGCAAATTAATCCAGAATTTTGGACTAAAAATAGATAAATTGATCCAAATCATCGAATTGTTTAACATTAATAACTAAATTTCAACTTAAGGGATTTCAAATTCAATCTAATAAATAAGACAGATGAAATAGTGGACATAGCAGTCAACATAACGTTAAAATCTAAACATTTACAAATGTAATACGAAAGGCGATAAGATCATTTATTAGGATGTCCAAATCCAAATCTTTGATAATTGATAAGAATACAATAAAGTTTTTCCTTTTTCATCTGGAGACCTTTTAGCTTGGAATATTCAAGCTTTGTAAGTCTAGGAGCGTATATTTTGTTTCTTTTGCGAGGTCAAGCCCACGCTTGTAGGAATAAGATGGTACAAGTAACTGGTAATTATCAGGATGGCGATGATTTGATAAAAAAATTTAGGTGGATTTGGGTTGATTTTAATGAGTAGCCTCATTAGAGATTTGCATCAAAATACAAATACAATGTATACAACAGTGTCTAAAAAATGGCAGATTTTAAAGTCAGCCAACTGAATCCTTTTTGATTTTGTTGAAAAGTTGAACAGCACACACTAAAAAACGTCGACTATTGATGTTAATCAGTCATAGGTAAACCAACTTAGATTGTTCTTTGATTTAACCAGCAGATGCAAAGAAAGATATGGATGATTAAAAATTGTGAAAACTTGGTGAGTTAACGGCAACCCAAAAAACATGGAGACACAAATGTTTGACCAGAAAAGGGAGAAAGAGAAAATTTTAGGAGAAACTTTCAGATGATGGGATACAATTATAAATCAAACTATAGTCATTAAACATTGTCAACTTCAATTAATTAATCAGTCAATTACAATGTATCGAAGCGTATTTAGTAAAAAAATAATAAAGGGAAAAAGACAGAAGTTGAATAAACAGACGAGATCGCAAAGGAAACCAGAAGGCAACTTGAAAGACAGAGCGCGTAGGCAAAGAGAGACAGAGGGGAGATGAAAGGGGAGACAATGGGTAGAGAAAGTAAGAACCTTTAAATGAAAGCTTGTTTTTGTTCGAACCATTTGGTTCAGTAAGTTTAAGTGAATAATCTTATTTTTGAATGGTGATGATAACTAAATCATCTTTACTAATCACAACATCATCATGCCATCATCATCATCATGTTTACCATCTTCACCATTTGATTAATCAACAAATTACTGGGTTAAATTATATTGAAAATCATTCCAAACAGTCAGTTAAACCTTCACCTTGTAAGGAATGGTTGTTTGCTTTGCCTTGACAACTTATCATCTTAAATTAATTTCTATCATCATTACAATATTTTATCCTAGGATAATTATTGATCCTGCTCATGCATCAGAAGGTAAGAATTTCATTTATTAAACAAATCAATAGTGAAAAATGGATACTTTGGAAAATAGCCTTTGATTATTTGCTTTGAGATATTTTTTATGCAGAGGAAATGGATTTCAATAACCATTGTTACTCTCTTAAAGACTTGGGTCAAGCTTCACTTTATTGATTTCTTTATTATATTTTCTCGCCATTGTTTTTCAAAAATTCAGTCTGTATTCAAATTGATTATTCTATCTTATCTTTCTACGAGTTATACAATAATCATTTTCCCTTTTATCTAGAAAAAAACCGTTAAAAATGAATGTGAACTCTGATGTTAACCTCATCTAATGTCTCCATTTAGACTCTCTTAAGACTAAAATGTTATCCATCATTAATCTTTAGCTTTTTTCTTTTAATTATCGGTTATAGATTTACTTTATTTTATATCAGATTTCATTTGTTGCCGACTTGCATTGAAAATAAACGGTTAGTTGAGTGTTTAAAGTGAAATAACATTTCTAATAATGTTGTGTTCCATTATTCACTGTCGATTTCTCCGCTGAGAAGAAAGAGGTTGCTCCTAAAAGATAAATTCAATATACAAATAAAGCAGGCAAGCTCTATGAAAATAGTTCTTTCTAAATCAACTGACAATTGTAGATGTAATTGGGTTAATAGAAGCTTGCAATTAAATTATGCCTAATTTGATTGTTAAAATAGTATGTTACATTAATTTTTTACATTGAACAACACCACTTTTTACCAGCAAAAATGAACAATCCTCGTCTAATTTAATTACTGATCACTGGAATAATGTAATCCATAAACTCATAATTGCTAAAATATTAATTTTTCCCTCGATTGACCTTCTATTATTCAGCTAATATCGTCATTCATATCTATCTATTTATAAATTATTTCATTAAACCAGAATAGCATACGAAGCTAATAACATCTGCATTAATTCCTAATGTTTAGAATAGCAATTAATCAATTTTTTCAAAAGTCATCCTAATATAATAGAAACCCATTTAAACTCATTCTTCAGGTGAAGTTTTGCTAAGCGATAAAATATTGCCATCAACACCATCAAGAGTCAGGTTTACCGGTCAACCAATTTTCTGGTAATTTTCACCAATCAGCGATTTTAATTTTGAATTGTGGGTAAACATTGTTCTTTTATCTTAATTTGCAATATCGGAGTGAATAATCCAAATCTATGAAAAAAATCATTGAACTGTTCAGCGACACAATTTTTCTGATGATCATAATAAATTCTGATGGCCTCATTGTTGCTTCAATTGATTTCAATTGAATTGCCTTTTCATGAGATAAATTTTTCTAGCATTATTAATTTGCCTTTGAAAAATGAAAAGGAAGGTGAATCTACTCATCAAGGTTTATTTGATTTCCTTTAATCATTATGATACATCTTCTCATCCTTTTCCCCCACATGTATCTTTATCTGAGGAAATGAAAATTTCTTTTCAGATGAGAATATCTTTCTCCAAGTTGACCTTTTGTTTCTGTATTTGCTTTTTCCCTTCTAATAAGTCTTTTTTCAACTAGTCATTTATTAGGTTCAGTGAATTTGAACAGTTTCATCCTTCAAGTTTTCAGTAAACAGATAAACATTCAACGGTCATCTTCAATCTATCTGGTTAAATGACCATCAGGTTAAAGATCACCATTGGAATATTAACAGCTTAATGGTTAAAGCTGAAAATAAACATGACAAAAATGTGATTGAGGATAAAATAGGACAATCATTGTATAATCACTGTGCCTTGCTTAATGAACAGATTATGTTTGTCCGGATTTTGTTAATCAATTCCAACTATCTGATCAATATCCTAGTTGAGATTCATCTTTTTTTAAGAAGGATTTTATTTACTCTTCATCAGTAAATAATTAACCTTTTCTGATTGATCACTTGAGATGTAAATAAATGATTTGCTACTGAAGTCCATCCATTATTGTGCTTATTGTTTGAATAGGAGTTTGTGTTGTATTTTCCGGAGTTTGAAATTAATGATGAGTCTTTATTGAACTTTGTATCCAAAAGCTTAATACTTGATGAAATGGTGAAAATACTATTTTTTATCTTATTATCGATCTTTAATTTACTATAAATCACCCTATTTTAATAAACATGAACATGAATAAAGTACTGAGCTTGTAATAATCAAATTGAAATGAAATGGAAATAAATGCATTCAATTCATTTTTACATACAATTGTCTCTTTCAATTTGATTTATCTATCCTTATATGTATGTTTCCACTTCTGTTCCCATGTTCATTCGATGAAATAATAAATATCTTTTTACTAGGATAATGATGTTGATCATAAGTGATTATATTGGAGATTCAGGATTGTGGTAAAGATTCGTTATCCTGTTATTTTCCAGCTTTTCTTTACGTTTATTGTTATTAAACTGTTATTGTACTGTTTCTATTATCAATCGTAAAATTATTTCTTTTTGTTTATCTTCACTAATGGACTAACAATTTATTTCTCTCTATTATCTATTGCAGTAAACGATCAATATTATGCTTCTCGGCCAATATTCCCACTTCAGTCATATCGAGACATCACCCTATTCCATTACACCATTCCAGATGAAATTGTCTCTGCTCGATGGACAATCTGGTCGAACTCAACGTCCAACTGTGATTCCAAAGAAGTAACACTTCTCCTTAGATGGCAAGGTTATCCATTGATACCTTCACTTCATAATGCAACGGCTTCAAAGGATGTACTTATCGACTTTTCTGAGCAATACGATTTACACCTTAAAACTAGTGAAATTCGAACAACCTCTTTTACCTTATCTCGGCCTCTGCCAGGTCAATGGTTTGGTATTGGATTCATCAAACATTCCTCCAATCGTATAGTTCAACGAGGTTTACACAGTAAATGCAAGGTTTCTTTGTCTACTCGTCTTTCCATGGTTAAATTAAAACTAGATGAAGAAGTTAAATTGATCAGTTCAGATTCACAAGCAACTCACAGGTTACAGGATCGACTTCTTTTCAAATTTTACGTTCCTCTGTTCACCAACAGTGCCAAACTAACACTGTCAGGATGTTCAAGAATAACAAAGTCTGGCGATGAGAGTGATGATGACGAAGAATCAAGTGGAGGAGGAAATGGAAGCTCAAAACGACGGTCTGGAGAGGGTTGTCCCATCAAAATATATACTCGAAGCTTAGGACTTCCATCTGATCGGCTCTATGACAGTTCACTTGATTGTTCCCCTAATTTAGGAGATGATTGTATAGCAAGTGGTTTCAATTTCACTCAAAATGGTTGGAATTATGTGTTGCTTGTGAAAAAACCAAGTCGAACTGATAATATTCCAGTTGAATTTTCAGCTTCTATTGCTACATCACAATGTATTCACAATCGTAATATTGAAAAGTCTAACTTTGCATCTGCTTCTTCCTTAGTTTCTCGTTTTTCAGCACTGTTAGCGTCTCCTGAATCCATAGTCTCACCATCATCGCCATCATTAGAATCTTCTAGTGCTACTTCAGTACCTCCAATGTCGGCTTACGACGTCCTATCTGAACTGCCAGATCCTATTTCTTCGTCTCCACAATCAACTCCATCACCACCTCAACCGATTGATGGAACCACAGATGATAAAGAAAAACGATTATTTTCCTTTTCAAGCAAACCAAAAAGTCATTCTCAGGATAACAATCCTCTCTGGTTCACGCGACATCTGTTAAAATCCACTGAAACAGATTTTTGTCCATTTCGAGTGAATTTAGTTCGCTACAATCTTCACGGGTCTTTTAATTTCCAATATGACCACGCTGATGCCTTTAAACCACGAGTGGGTCATTTTACTGTTAAACCTTTTGTCGATATTCCTAATTCAATGACATTATCAGTTTCGAACAAACGCAATCCACCTTTAGTGGATGAAGAGCTAACAGATGAAACTAATGAGAGAGAAAAGCGTATTTTACCATCATCAGGTAGTAAAGATAATTTAACTGAATTATCCGTCCTACACTTTGAAATATTACCCATCCTTGACTCGGGAGGTACATTGACAATTGATGTTGGATTAAATCCATTTGTGAACATGACCAAGCAAAATGTATCTATCTATGGATGCCTACAACATGGTCATTACTCAACAGCCTTTGGCTCTTGTCAATATTCAATCAAAGTCAACTCTAGTCATAACCCGTTAATTGCATTGAAATTACCTTATCCTCGAGCTGGACTTTGGTTCATCTCATTAAAAACTGAATGCTATCATTTTGATGGTCGGTCTTTCAAAACTGAAATATGTCAATCCAATAGTACTTCAATCCTTATGAGTATTAAATCCAATTCATGCTTTGAAAATCAATGTGGACCACATGGTAAATGCAATCAATTCATTAGCGGCGGACTTATATTTTCAACTTGTATCTGTAATTCAGGTAAATATTTTGATTGATGAACAATAATACAAAAATTAGATTAATCGCTAAAAATTATAATTTTGTTCATTATTTTGATCTTCAATCTTTGCAGGCTGGAAAGGAATGGACTGTAAAGATGGAACTGACGCTTTAGACGAAAGAGAAATTCTAATAAACTTTTTACTATTAACATTGAGTAATTTAGTTTTCGTTCCAGCTCTTATATTAGCATTATATCGTCATCTTTTCACTGAAGCATTCATTTACTTGATTGCTATGAGCTCATCTATTGTAAGTATCATATTGCAAATGAAGCAAAATATTTAAATCCAGAAAAATTATATTAATATACTTTTCATCATTTCTTTTCTCCTCTAACAGTTATATCACGCTTGTGATTCCGATTCTCTTCAAGCTTTTTGCTTGATCAAGCTCAATGTTCTTCAATACGTCGACTTCTATTCAGCTCTATTGGCCTTTTGGGTAACCCTGATATCACTTTCCAATTTACCAACTGAAGCCCGCTCATTCTTTCACCTTGTCGGCTCAGTTCTATTAGCTATTGGAGTTCAATATGATCGAACCTCTCTATGGACATTCGTTGTTCCTGTGTCTGCAGGTTTCGTCATTGTGATTCTAACTTGGGTATGTTCATTGGTTCATGTCCATTAGTTCAATATGTTGCTCCTACATGTATCATAGCCTTTTTTATTAATTTATTGCGCTTTTCTTTCTCTTCAGTGCTTCTTTTGCTGCATTAAACGTAACTGTTTCCCATCGTGCCAATTGTGGTCATTAAGCATGCTACCTGGACTAGTAATGACCAGTGCCGGTTTGGCAATCTATTCATTATTCGAGACGAAAGACAATTACGCTATTGTTCATAGCTTTTGGCATGCTGTTATGGCATCAGCACTTGTCTTTTTAATACCCACCATGGAACATAAAAGTAAAAAGCAAGCCTCCCCTCCGGATGAGGAAGATGAAAACTTTAGAGGGAAAGGTATTAATCATGAGACTTATTATGAGCTTATCGCGGAGGAAGGTTCCCATCTTGCACGTCATCCCCTAACTTAAACTAACTGGCTTAGTTGCTGATTTTCAGTACTTAAAATATCTAGATTAAGGAAAGCCTCAATACCTGATTGTGATTAATATACTCTGTTTCATATACAGTAACTGAAAGAAGATAAATTCATTGCTCATCTTATTTTACTCAATTGCTCAGTTAAGTGAGAAACTTAAAGGGTGCTAATTTTAATTGGCCCTAGAACACTAACTAACAATCAGTAATCTGTAAAAGAAACAAACAAATAACGATTAATTAGTCTTGAAATTAAATTAACAAAAAGACTGAATTAACACATCGAATCATTTATTGATCTCTAAAATTTTCAAATTAGCATATACCTAACAAATTAAATTAATATAAATGTTAGACGTGTTTATCCACACTGAAATCACCCATTCCCATCTTAAATATTGTTTCACCCATTTTTTTTAACAAAACAAATTATATAACACTAAAGAAACGCCGAGAGTTAGAACTAATTAACTAATTATCAAAATAATATGATGATAAACCAAATTTTGCTTAAATAAATGTGTACCATTTGATTCTCATTTCATCTTTACTCCATCTTATTATATGTTTTGGCTTTCTCTTTCAATCGGTCAACCTTTTCAATATTACCATAGATTAATATAGCTGATTGTTATTATTACGATTTTATTTTGTATTATCTTATTCCATTCTCATTCTAGCGACAGTGCCAAACACGAAACGAGCTCATGTCGAGTGGAGGCCAAATACATCATTCAAATTCCTCCAAGATGATATCGATATGCTTTGATAAAGTGTCAATTAAATGTATTCAAAGGCCAATCTGCATAACAATTTTCAACTTGTTGGATTCATCTAAACCATCATTAATATCCAAATCAATTCCATTTGAGCAATCATTGATAAATTAATGATTCATTAATTGATGTTGTCCAAGAAAAGGTTAAATCTGTGAAATTTGAAGATACCTGAAAGATGGACCCACTTTATGAAGAAAGAGAGAAAGACATAACGCAATAGAGAAGACAAAATTGAACTCAAAGTGAAAACATTTTTCGTTTTTACATTTTCACTGAATATTTGTAAAAATCAAAAATTATCAACTATTCCAAGAGTTGGAGTGTTGAATTGCATATGTTGACTGAACAATAACTGTTAATTGTTTAAGTTTGGTTGGTAATTTTATTGAATGTCTCAAGAAACACGAATACCTGAATGTATGTGCAATCAACGGATCACCTTTTTAGTGGAAAGGAAGATTCCCAATCTAATCTACTAAATTATTTAAAATGAAGAAGAGCTTAAATGTGATATATTATTAATAATTATACAAAAATAATGTAAATTTAAGTTGGATGAATATTTGGTTCAATTTAATTCCTGTTGACCAATTTATTTAATTGTTTGTTTCCTTTTAACTCCAAAGATAAAAGAAGATGATTTCATAAACAAATCTGATTCAAATAAAACAATGATCTAAAAATCTTTTCAAATAGTAATAATTTCTGTAAATAATTAAAAAACCAATGAAAGTCTCATGATGTACCTATTCTTCATCTTCATGAGATAAAGAAAAATCTTCCATTTCGATTTTTTAACGATAATTTATGTTCAAATTTCGCTTAAATTATCAAAAATGAAAACCCAATCCAACTTGGAATCACTCGGGTTTTTATCATTCAAGAATGACTTTTCATTCAATCCATTGTTATCTCAATGAATTTTCCAAACTTGTAAAAAGCATTCCCTTTAACTTCCTTGAGCAAATTAACCCAATCGTAAAAATTGTAAAACATTGATTTGTTTTTTATTAAAAATCGTTTTGAATTGATAGTTTAATTGGGACTTAAATTGAAGCAATAAAGTTTGTTTCTGAAGTATGAGAATTAATCTCGTATGATAAAAATCATCGAGCTATTGTAGTTGATTTGGATTGAGGGTCGTTAATTAGTTTTTATTGTTTTGGTAATTATTTGATCGGAGTTAATTTATTGGGGTTTTTGCTATTCTTAAGAAGCATAATTAGAAATGATATTACAGCATTTAATCTTTAAATTACATGTAATTTATTAATTTAAAATTGGAGATTGAATAACAGTATTTTTTGCTTCTCAGATCTAAGATCATTCACGATGGCGATAAATGTAACCAGAATATGTAACCAGTTTCTGGAGTTAACCAGAAACCAGAGTTTGTTTGTAAAACACTTTCTTGGTGACAGTTTTTGATGATGGACTACAATACATGGAAGTTCCCAAGAAAAATTTAACTTGTATTGTGTTTACATCGACAATTCCTTCTACAATTATGATATTTAACTGTGGGCTTTAATAAAATATGAAAAACTATACAGTAGGGGTTAGGGTTAAGTTAACAAAAGGGAAGATTTTTTTCATAGTCGCCCTCTAACAATAAATTAAAGTACCATTAGAATCGACGAGGTGGTGTAACCGTCCGGCATTCACCCGGATGACTCGGGTTCGAGGCTCCGTATTACCCTCATCACTTTAATGGTATCCCTATCTGGGTCCTGAACTTAAATGTTTAGTAAGAGAATAGTCTCTCTGAATAGACATGCCGTAGGAGTCCCCTGCGGTGGGCATACGTAATAGTATGGTCTTCTCTCAAGGAGAGAAGATTCGCTAAAAATCGAACTTTTTTTGTCCAGTTTTCTATTGCATTGTTTTTTCCTTGTCTCTAAAAACTAAATATGCTCGAGATGGCGACACTTAAAAATTAACTTAACTCTAGCCTAGTGGTTAGCGTTGGCGATAAGACTGCTAATCTTCATATGTTGTGTTCTGCATCTTGGGGTTAGCGTTCGAGTCTCGCCCAAGTCCTGAAGTTAGGCGAAAATGCGGTTGCTTACCCAGAGTTTAAGCCCTCTGGAAATCCTCTTCCCTCTACCCTGGATTCGTCAAAATAACAAATGTGTAACCGGCGCTAGTAAAGCTGGTGCGGTCCCTGTCGGGCCGGTCCAAACCCGAAATAATAAAAACTCTGACCACTTTTTGTTAACTTAACCCTAACACCTACTGTAGTATAAAATTCATAGTGATGGATGGATAGCATTCTTACCTTCGTTTATTTCTATGTGCAGCCTTTTAAGATTTGTTAAATACTTGGTACAATTCGCAAAGCTCTTCAAACTTGTAACTTGCGTGCGGTGAAGCTGCTTTAATTTAGATCCATAAAACTGATTCATAAATCGAACTGATAGGTGACCATCCGCAAAAACTGAACCTCATCATCATCCATTGGGTAAGCATTGGGTATCCATCACCCAAGACTGTAAACGTTGAGCTTATTTCACTCATGGTAATCTGTAAAATAAAGTAAACAATCAAAAGATATAATCGATTTGAATGATACCAAAAGATGGATATTGACCGTGAACCATGAAAATGGTTCATTACTTACCTTTGTAGAAGTTTATCAAATCTTTTAGCACATTTATAAAACCAAAAATGATGAGCAAACAATCATCTGGAAGCTCTTTTAATAACAAAAACACCAATAACCAATAACAAACATGTACGAAAAATTATCTAATTAAACAGAAAACTAACCAGAGAAATATATACTAATAGATGTTTACTAGATATTGTAGGTTAATGTAAAGGTTAACATATTTTTACCGCCAACTTACACAGAGCAATGAAAAGTTAAATGATTCATCGGTAAAAAGGATTTGACAAATGAGTTGAAAGATACAGAGAGAGAGAGAGAGAGAGAGAGAGAGATGAAGCATAACCAGAGTTAATAATTTGAATGATGAAATACAAGTTGTAGATTAAATTAAAAATAACGTTAAAATTACGAAAACGGTTGATCAGAGAAATGCTCAAATCGCACAAATAGACTCATTTTATATTTCCATACAAACCCATTGAGTCTAAATTTGAGTAAAATTGATTTTTACCCGTTTACCCCGTATCACTTGCAAAGGAATTGGTTTTTCACAACAAAACTCCTTTACTTAATGACTGAATATCTTTCTGAGTTATCATTAGGAACGATAATAATATCTAAATTAGCATCAGCGGGTAGGTTGTAATCAAATCAGAATAAGTTGTAATAAGAAAAAGTTCATAGCCTCAGTTTCTTAAGATACCCAGTTGAGCAGTTCATGTCTGAACCTTTGCTTTGAGTCAAACTGTCTCAAATTCTGTTTTATTTATGTTTATTAATCAAGATCAATCTTCATCAAGAAATTAGCAATCATGACTTCATTGTTGCTGCATCAATCTTCCCAAATTAATTTAAACAATAAGAAATTATTTCAAGATTAAATAATATTTTATTTATTAAGGGTGTTTCCGATGAAAAATGGATCGAGTTATCTGAATCCAAAAAAGTTGATTCAGATCAATTTTCATCGACATTTTTGAACTTAATTTGTTCTAAAAATGATCTAACGGCTGAAAAAAACATTTACAGGTCAAAAAAGTCACCGGAAGTGGATCCAATTAACATTTCACCGGAAAAATCCATTGTCAAAAATCCAACATCTTTTGTCGAAAGGAGCTGTCGACATTCTGGCCTGTCTTCTTCTTGGCCGATCGCTTTTGTTTATAATTTCTCCATCCTTTTCTTCATTCTCTTTTTTTCTGTTGACCATCCGCAAAAACTGAACCTCATCATCATCCATTGGGATCCATTGAATTTCGGGTTCATTAATTGCAACTTTATTAACTTTATCATATTCCATTGAAAAGCACTGCGGATAAAAAAGACAAAAAAGCAACATTTAGTTTTTAGAGAAAATTGTATGAAAATAGTTGTTAATAATAATTGCAAAACTTACCAATTTAGTTGAAATTTACAATTAATATAAATGATAAGAAGTGTTCAATTATCACAATACTAAATGTTTATATCACAGTGTATAAAACTAAAAAATTGCCTTCCTTGTTTAGACTGTTGATGCACAAATGGAAAAATGGATTATTTTGAGCAAAGAAGCTCGAGGAAAATTCATTTGCGGTAAGGTCTTTAAAAGCAAAACTGATTAGAGCAAAACCGATTAGAGCAAAATTTGATAACTGATTTTTTAATTTCTCAAGCTTCTGTAGTTTTTTGAGCAATCTTTAACTTTAAATGGTGCATCAGTGGAAAATTCGGCTTCGTCTTTTTCTCCAAATTTGCTAGATATGATTCTGGTTAAACATCAAAAATGCAAAATCCAGGTTACATTAAACTAGTGATGGTGGTGGTGGAAACTCCGTGGTGTACGTGCTGTGAAACTAGGTAAAAGTCATAAAATTGTCTTCGAGTATCGGTATGGTTAATGACAGATCCAGGAGGAAGATTAAGCAGATTTCGTCCATTAATATGAGTAATTTTGACTCGCTTTTGAACCACAATAAAACTAAGCTGAGGCTTAGTGAGTTCAGGTTTATTTTTAACATAATTGATAAGAGCCGTTTCAAGTTGAGGAATCTCATATTCTCGAACTATAGGAACATCATCATCTCCGACACCACCACGATAGAAGAAAATCTTTCCTGGAATTATGCCATTAACTTCATAGTACTTTTTGAGGGCAGCAGTAATGGCTAGTCCGAGATTATTAACAATCTCTTCACGTTGGTTCTGAAAAAAGCAATGAGAATACCATCGAGTTGCATTTCTGTTCATTGATGGAACAACTCCGAAAACCGATCTAGCCTCATCTGAAGGATCGTGATAAGTGATGTGATTGTGATCGTGACCACCTTGTTTACAAGCCATTTGCATGGCTATGTTCAAACCCCATTCTGCTTCGTTAGCAGCACTTATTTCATTTCCACCTCCAAATGCAAGCTTCTCAGGAGCAAATTTACCAGCGGTTGAATCGAAAAGGCTACGATCTATTTCAATACCCCAATCATCTAAAACCTGTTTAGCTGATTCACATCATGAGTGGTTCTGATAAAATTATTCAAACGTCGATGTTTGGTTTCTTTGGTTATATTTAGATAATGCATTTCTTTCAAAATCAATATCATCAATTCGGTATGCTCTGTTGCTGTACCGAGTCAATACAATAGCACCAAGCAATAGTATGTTGATCTGGTCAATGGAATGTTCACGAAGTATATCTAGAGCAGTAGTTTTACGACGAACATCGCAGTCAATATTCATGCCAAGTACTCCATCGTACTCTTTAATGGCACATACATGTAAGTAACCAAGCCAAACTTTATGAGCTGGAGCGTAAATTCTAACCAATGGATTGTGCTGGTGCGTCTTCGGTGCAGCCAATTTCATATATTGAAGAATTTTGTTCAATAAGCTGTCGTAGAAATATATCAATTCCTTAGCTGGAGGAACTGAAACATGATGAATTTTAACCTCAACGGTGAGGAAATAATGGATGTGTTGCTGAAATGTGGCAAGGGTCTTTGTCAAGTTTGAGGGGCAATAAAAGGTCAGGACCAGTAAAACTCATAACAGAACCAATTTTTTCCAAAACTGCATGTGAATGTAAAATTTTTCTTTGCAAATAAATTGCGTCGATATTAGGTTAAAAAAACACAGCATATAAATGGATTCTTTTCTTGAGTACAACAGCAATTTTGAAAGGTTCACCATCTTTTTCAAGCATCTTATTAGGTTGATTATTAACTGGAGACTACTGTCGTAAAGATGTCATAACTATATTTCCACAAAAAAATTAGAAATTAAAGTTAGGGCAAACCAAAGAGTAAAGGAAGAAGAGTGTGCAATTCAATGGTGAATCTCAGGACTCTTTTAATTGTGTTCCAGTCCGGAGAGTTGTGAGTATTCACCTAAAAGATAATTTTCAAACATATTAGACAAATTGGATAAAATCATCAAATAATGAACTTAATATGAATATTGATACTTACAATTTCTAAAACCAAATCTTGCATGGAATCATTTTTTATCTTTACATTTAAAAAAATTGACCAACGATTAATGTAATGGAAAGCACTCCTAAGAGATGGAAAATAGTCAGCCATGTCAAAACCAGGATAACATTGATCATTAAAATTTGATTTGATGCCAAATTCGAAAATTTCAACCTTTTCCAGAACTGATCCTTTATACAATGAAATCTTTTCATTAAATGGCCAAACTGTTAGAAAGAAAAACGTGAAAAATCTCCAGTAAGGATGACAGTATAATCTTGAAATATATGGCGTATATCTCTTGCTTTAAACATTGCTGCTCCATGAAATTTGTTGCATCTTTTTATAAATCTAACAGATTTTTCAAATATTGATTTTGAATTTCTTATATCGATGATGATTTAAAAGTGATTCCAATGTAAGTGAAGATGCCTGGATAGCTTTTTAAATAGCAACAGACTAAAGATGAATTGTAAAGCTAATTTCAACTAATACATTAGGATAATAATATTCTGTGATTATACTTTCTTTAAAGTAAAAACTTGTTAGACCAGAGATAAAGATGAACTAGTGAGTGTGTTTTGAGTGTGTGGATAGATTAGAAAGCAAAAGTAAAAACATTCACACCATCATCTTAATCTTTATCTTCTGAAAATTAGTTTGATCTTTGAATAAATCCCTGAGTCAGTGTGAGGAATGAAGAGCAAGCACATGACGGTGACACTTAATAGTTTGGCCTTCGCACATGAAAGTTATTTCACAATTCGTTTGATTATTGAAGCTGTATTGGAGACTACGAAATAGACTCGCCTCTATATTCATGTTGGTTATGAACATGATATAACATGGATTCACTTTGATGGAACAACGGGAATCACTGACAAAAATTAAACTTAAAAATTTAAGTCTGATGATAATAACTGATGTAAAAAGATGAAATAATACACTTTAAAGATGTAAATGATGACCAGTTTCTATCAGACTGTCATGTTGAAAATTTTCTGGTTAAAGATTCAAAGATAAGATAAAAGTGTTAAGTAACTTGAACCCAGATTCATTAGTAAACATTAAACAGTAAAGGGTCCAGACTGTTTAAAGAAATTAACATTAAAATTGTATCTAATATTATATACTCTAGATGCTTGATTATCCCATTGGTAGACGGCGCCTATTTACACCAATCCACATCCCTTCACGCAGGTCTTTTCAATACGGAAAAATTATTCTTATTATTGTTGTTGACTTCTGACCAAACAGGTCTTTTTCCTTAAATCTTTACTTGTGACCCTTTGAAATCCATTTCAACTTTACACTTTCATCAATTATCATCGTTTTCCATTATAACTTTTCATTTGTTTCTCATTTGTTTCTCATCATTTACATCCAGTCAATCTTTGCATCAGTTTTGCATCATTTATCATGTTTTGTTCCATCCCTTCATCATATTAATTGTTGCATCTGTAAGTATTTATACTTTTGCTATAATATCTAAAAGTATTTCTCATTTCATCAGTTTTTTTTTCATTATCAATTGTTCCATATATTTAAATATATTCGTATTTTTTTTCTCATTGTTTAATTTCTTTTAGTGTTTGTAATTACAATTCATATCATTCTCTAATGTGTAATGATAATTGATCAAATCTTATCATTTACACAACGATCTTACTTTGAATTGGCTTCCATCAAAAACTAACCATAGTCTATTCGTTCGGAAAACGGTTCACCAGTTTCTCATCATTTTGCATCATCAGCCAACATAGCCATCATTTTACATCCAGTCCAACTTTGCATCATTTATCGTCAATTTCATAATTAACATTCGCGTTATCCCATCAACTCATCATCATATTAATTGTTAAAATCTGTAAGTATGCTACTACTCAAAGTTTATCATTTCCTCAGTTTTAACATCTTTTTCATTTATTTTCCAGTACAATTTTGTGAAGACTTCAAGAAAATATGGCCACTTTTTACTTTGATGGAGATAAGTTACAACAATGTCCATACCAACCTCACCATCTAGTTTTATCAAGACGAATGCTGGCTCACATGAGTAAATGTGCGAAAGATCCAAATTCACCTAAACTTAAGGAATGTCCCTTTAACTCCCTTCATCGTGTCAAACCTGATGAAATGGAAATTCACGTTATGGAATGCGGTGACAATCGTCAAGCCATCCGTGAGATGCTCAATCCATCAAAACCAGCCATTAACACTCAACCTCAAACCGATAATACACAAGATTCATGGGAGAATGGCGGTATGGCTAAAGAATACCTGTTACCAGGATTAGAAGATAATCATGCTATAGAGGTTGATAGCGATAGTTTCATTCCTATTCAAAAACTATGCAATATGACGAAAGCTGAAAGGAAACGCCTGTATAATCAGTTCAATAAAAATGCTATCAAAAGAAAAAGATTTAATTGTACATAAAAGACTATGTTTAAATTGTCTAAATTAAATTTACAAATGAAAATGAACATTTCAAAGCAAAAACTCAATCTTCAATCAATAGCAAAGATTAATGTAAGTTGAAAGCCTTTTCTACAATTAACTATTCCAACTTTGAGACAAAAAAAGGTAAGACAATTTGTCTTAATTCACACAATCAATTGAATTAAAACCTTTTAAGGATCAGGCATCATCCTGGTACAGAAATTAAATTAAAACTATTTGATTATTGATACACAATTGTCTATTTTGAAATTCATGTTGATTAATATTTTCGGTTATGAAAAGTGATATCAACACTAGCTTCAACATGAGCGAGATCAGTATATTGATTGTAATTGAAATTGTTTGATAGCGTTTATAAAAGCATAAAGACTTGATGCTTTAGCATTAACCAATTTATTTAATTTTGAATTGATTGCGCTAGTTTAAGATAAACATATTGTTTCAAAGATGATGTAATTAGCTCAAGAAAAGGACTTGAATCTTAAACATTGTTTATTTTGCAGCTAAGACTATCCATCTTTTAATTTTGCATTAAGCATTAAGGAGGAAGGTCAAAACTGCCTTAAAATAAATTTTTTTGTAAAGAACACACAAGATACAAATTCGATCTTGATTTTGATCTAAAATGGCGCAAAACTGGCCATTTCTCAGATCAAAACGCTAACTAATGCATTTATCGAAAAAATGGCCAGTTTTGCGCCATTTTAGATCAAAATGAATCGCTGCATGGAAATCAGAATTGAATTTGCATTTAAAAAAATTATTCAGAAAGTGCTTTCACCTCTGGTTTCCGTGATACTCGTCCTTATGCATTTTCTACGTTTTTTCGTGATATCTCAAAGGCGAAAAGTTATCGCGAAAAATGGATGAAAGTAATGAATCCAGCATAAAATTTCACATCATATTTGATTCTTACAAAAAGATTTCTCACTAGGCAGTTTATCTTATTCTTTTGGTCTTCATCCTTTGTGAATATTCAATTCCCAATACTTTTACAATAAGCCTTAACATTTGCTTGCTAATCCATCCAACAGATTATACATTTCTTATACACTTTCTTAGACCAGAGATAAAGAATGAACTATTGAGTGTGTTTTGAGTGTTGAGTGTGTGGATCATCTTAATCCTTATCTTCAGGTGTCAGTCTGTTTTTAGTATGGCTTTGAGATGAATATATGCACTATTTTTCATTGAATCTCAAATTCAACAAAATATCATTTAAACTCTTCCAAGGATTTTGATTAATTGAAGTTTTAAACGATGATCCGAGTTTTGTGATTAAAAATCATCAGTTAGATGTATTAATATATATATATTTTTCATTGTAATGTCCGTTCATCACACTAATTCATGAGCAAACAAAAAATTAGCTTCAAGCTTTTCCTCAAGATTATCAATTAGTAATAGCTTCAAATCTGGATTTTGGGTTGACATAAATGTAATGATTAAACTAAACTTGACCAAATACTGACAAATAAGGTGATGGTAGAAGTCGAGATGAAATTTCGATCTTTTGATTTGGAAAAGGTTAAAAGCAATGTTGAAAATCTTCCATATTTTATTGGCGTCTAAAGTAACAAACATAATCTTTGTTACTCTTTTGTTTATCATAATATTAATCTTAAAATTGGGGAATAAAATAAGATTTTTTGTATACTGTTTGCTGGATGATTTACATTGACCTGATCAGTGAATCCTCGGTGAAGAATGTTTATGTGTAGCAATGAAAGTATGCAAATACAATTAAGAATTAGGAATTAAGTTTTTATTTTTATTTTTATTTTCATCTTCATTTTCATCTTCATTTTTATCTGCATCTTCATTTTCATTTTCCCAGATTCATTAGTAAACATTAAACAGTAAAGGGTCCAGACTGTTTAAAGAAATTAACATTAAAATTGTATCTAATACTAGGTCAGACGATCGCTCGCC